GTTTTAATAGAAAATTCTCGATCGAGGAAATTGTCTTCCTGTGCAAACGAAACTGGTCTTTCACTTCCGAGGAACTTGCATCGAACGCGTCGTTGCCGATCGAACGAAAAAGAACGCTCGCGTTACGTAACGACAAAATTTAATCGCGAGACGCCGATGCATTTGTTCGATGTCGCAAAGGTATCCGCAAACGAGTGCTTTGCAAAACGAGTTCTTCGTACCGATATATAAATACCCGTACGTAGTGACACGTGTCGCTTATTACAAGCACATTATATGTTATAGGCGTCTGCTGCGCTACTATCAATAAATTTCCACGTGCTTATTAATCCATCACGCCTCTCTTCTGGTCCTCATTGTCACAGCACCTACCTCTCCGCGGTGTAAGTTTGAAGATTGCCGCTCTATTTTTAACAAAACAAAGTCAAGATTGGCAAAAACTCGCACTGTCATCCAATGCCGCTATTATCCAACTCCTCGCCTCACTTATCATAAACGCGAAATCATTGCGATAAATAATGATAATGGTAACGCACGCAATACCGCAAAGATCGATTATTTTCAAACGTTAATGATCGACGGCGTTAATATCGCAAGAAATCGGATGAATATTAAACGGAGCGTTTACATTCCTCGTAGAATGGATACTGAATCCAGATCGCATCGCCGTTCGATTTAACCAAAACGACTGTAGTTCCGTCTTCGCGGAAAGTTAAAGTTGCGTGGTCGCTGAGACACTTCAGCGTTCGGTGCATCCGTGCACGTGGCCGAGAAGAGCGGTATAATCGGATCTTCTCCAGTTTCGAACGCTGGTTTCTAAGGCTGGCGCGCGAGCGCGCGCGCGTACATGTGTAACAGCCTTGTCGCGGCTGAATATTTATGCGCGACCTCTCGCGTGCATCGCGCCGCGGCCTACCGAGAAATCCGCGGCATTCTGGAAAAAGAGATACCCGCTGCCTGAGTTCTGATTTATACGAGTCGGATCGGTCAGATCGATCGGCGCTGCTCAATCGAGTTGGCCGCGTGTACCAATCGGTTCCCCGTCCAAGTAGATCGATATCACGCGGCCACGGTGTCGTGATTTATGCGTTTCACCTCTTGCCACCCTTATCTCTGATCTCTGCTCGCCTTCTACGCGTGTAATGGCGGATTTTTGCCACGGCGCCGCGCCACGGCCTACGCGACGCCGATCGCAAATTACCTGGTGCACGCGCGCCAGCACAATCGAGTATATCGCGATGAAAAATTTCGGTCGTTGAGCTTCGCATGGGAGCTTCTGTATCATCGGTTCGCGCTTGGAGATCGCGCGGAACGTGATCGTTGCAAAGTGACCGTTATCACAATTTTTTTTTCATCTTCGAGCGTTGGGATTTTTATGGAAAAATGGAATGGATGTTCTGCTCCGGACATCTTGCACGGTTTTACGTCGACTGAAATTTCGATTGTGAGAACGAATTCTCAAAGATACTTAAAGATTCTTAAAGATCGATGGACAAAGGCAAGCAAAGGATTTTCTCGGTACGCGTTCGTGTTACGCAAGAGTCACGAACGAAACAGGTCGGCAGTTATCGGCCGCGATATGAAATCGTTCGTGTTATGCGATCGACTGATTCTGATTTACAATCGGGGATCAAGCCAGGATCCACGAGGTGCTCGATCGTTTCTAGCGAGCGCTAATCGAGGACCACGTTAGATCGGTATCGCCGTGGCCGAGACTTGCAATTTACACGTTTGCCCGTTTGCTGCCATTCTCTTTCTCTCTCTCCGTTCTCCCCACTCGTTTCTTCCCTGCAGTTCTCGTCTTTTATGTAATTTGTTACAAGCTGCTGGTTCTCCCGCGTGCCTCTGGCGCACCGCACTGGCACGCAGTCGCAAAAATTTCTTCCCATCTACGCTTCTTCCTTCAGCGGCGTTCCATTTTTACGAAACTCGGGGCACGTTTTCCAACGGGTTCGACAGAACGTCACAAACGAAATCGATACGCTTCCGCTGTTGCAGTAGAACGTTCTTTTAACAAGAAATACGACGAAACAGTTAAGTTATGCAAATTTGATTTAGCGAGAAAATAACGGACAAAATGAAAAAAAAACGTGATTTAATAACGAGTTGCTACAATATATATTCAGCACAGATATTATGAATTTATGATTAAATAATTAAATTGCTATAAGATGTGCAAGACAGATTCTTATAGCATAAAACATTACAGTATTATTACAGCATAATATTAACATATTCGGAATCGTTATTCATCCTGCCGAGCGACACGAGCCTCGAAAATCGTGTTCAACGATCATGGTCCACTGAATCGAAGATCCGAGGATGAGCATTTTTCGGACGGTGGATCTTTCGCCACGACATTTCACGGTGTTTTCTAAGAAAATTTCACCGGGAACCTCTCTCAGACCATTGTGATCCTCTTCCGTTGGTGAAAGCCACTTTGGACCTGTGCACTCGAATAGAGGCGAAAGCCTTCGAGACCCGCCTACGTTCCTGGCCACACGCGAATTCCTTCCTACTTCGTTCTAACTGGTTCTCTCTACTTTGTTGCTTCGGCTCACGGATCTAATACGTCTTCCTTATCTTCGTTGATTTTACACGAACCGCAAGTTCGGGAGTAGCTATCTTTTCGAAAGTCACGGTACAAATATCGGATCTCAAAACGGTGATTAATTCTTATCGGCCATGTTCACGCGAGATCATTTACAATCGACGACGATCCCTTTTTCGAAATCGGCAAAGGAGAATTCACGCAGTGAATGAACAATCTTTAGAGGACTCTAATTTCTCCATAGTATTCAGTTTAATCCTTGCAGATGCAGATCTATTTTCGTTTGCATCACTTAATCTTTCTAAATCTTTCTAAAATCGACTACCAATCGTTTTGAGAAGTGTTATACCATCAGAAAATCATTTCTCGCGTGTTTACTCATCTTCCAAGAATTAATCGAACTTTCCATCCTCGAGATCGAGATTTCCACGAGATTGAAAGAATTTTTCTTCAAATGTTTTACTGGAAGGAGCCTGCTGTAGAGAGCACCGCGAAACTTCTCAAATCGACTTTCATCCAATTTTCAAACTTCGTCAAACGACAGACAACTGAATCCGATCGATTCGGTTAAAAATGCAAGAAAATCTCGCCAGTATATTGAGCTGTTAATACCGAAACGTAACTGGTTACGTTATTGGCAGCGCGTAATTAACCGAGCACCCCGTTAACTGCTCGTTAAACGAGCAGCCGCGATACGTCGGATCTCCATAATACTCGGCTCCGTTACCTTCCTGCCTTGTCCCGAACCAGCGTTCAACCTGAGCAATTTGCACGGCTTTATTTCCTGTTAAACGGCGCTCCACGACCCGCCGATCGAACGGTTTTATAACTCAATCGCATGTGGAGCGTCGGAACTGCTCTGTCACTGCCCGACTGCTTTGCCTTTTACTTTCCGAGCGGACCAGTATCACCGCCGTTCTAGAAAATCGGAATAACAGTTGCCGCATGAGCGAACGTCGCAAAAAAAAAAAAGAAAAAAAAATTATTTGCTTCGCCGTGGCCCGCTTCGTAACCCGATTATCGCCCGTGAAGTCATGCGACGGCGATAACGGTTTACGCGGGAACCAATGAAAAGGGTTTTTCCAATACATGGGAGAAGATTGTTCGATTCGTCTCACGATTATGTACAAATCATTCCACCTTATACTCTCCGAGTTTAAGATAATTCTTATTCCTTATAAATAGTAATTGTCGCGATTGTCACAACGATAAATATCAGAACATACAATTTTCCTCTGGGCAAAAGATCAATCTTGAATTTAGAAGCGACGACAGAGCAATCGTGGAAGATTTTTCGCACGAATTGGAGAACCGTGAAGGGAGTTCCCCTGAAAATGGGCGGTTCGAACGTCCTTGGCGCAGTTGATAATTGTTAGATAACTACTGGGTTCCTGGTATTTGTGCGGCGTTGGTTAGGTAATGCGACGACGGTACAGAGAATAAAGTTGGTCTCGAGTGTTGAAAACGTTCGTGGTACGATCCTCGAATTAACGAAATGTTCTCGCGTTTATTCAATACTTCTCAGCGATCAAATATACATTGTGACCTCGTTCGTACGAGAATATGGGATACAAAGGGCACAAGGTGAATCCGCGTGAACTTAGGAAGCGAAGCGAGTCTTCGTTCCTCAAGAGGGAAATAGAAACAAACGTGAAAGCGTGTCGAACGGGGGTGCGGACAGGGATCGATTTTCGTCACCTAATAACGGCGGTTTTTGCACATTTGCACCCTAATAGAAAATTAGTATCGTCTTACTGCGGCAGTTTTTGGAAGCGGCCAGGCCGCAGTACTGCGCCTAAACACGAAAAGCGGATAGCAGTATATAACCTGTATAGGTATATGGGATGTGCTGAGGTACGCCCACGATGGTCCTGCCAGTGTTTCTCAATGTAACATTGTACTAACACAAACATCCTCGGCTCTACAGTATCTAATTTTCCTATTGAATGACGTGCAATACTCGTTCAGAAAAGGCTTTTAAATCCTTGGCAAGTATCTCAAACTTTGTCCCTTAAAAATGAAATATTTCAATTTCATCTGACATTCTTCTTTTTTTTTTTTTTTTTTTTGTTTTTTTTTAGTAAAATAATAACTAAAGAGAAAAGAAAACAAAAAAGAAAAAGGGAAGAGAAAAGAAAACAATGTGCGTCGGCATAAAATAAGGAAAAAATAGAGAAAAGAATGTGTTCCGTTTCTTATCGCCGTACATACAAAACTTACATGGAAAATGCTAATGGATTACCGAACATTCTCTTCTTTAAGCATAAAGAATAAATGTGTTACGATTTTATTCATTAGCTCGAAGTTCTCGATTTTTTTGCATCCGGAGAAGTCATTTATTACTATACATCGAATGTTACTTAGCAATCAATAATTATCCCATAGCCATTTTTGTATGACAAACATGCCTGTATATGACAACATACTCACTTTTTTGTATATGACAAACATATGAACGTTTCATGCAATACATTTACTAATATGATTATTAATATGATTAATACATTTAAGCAAAACGAAATGACTTTTTTTCTTCATGAAATTTACAATCGACTGATCAAAGCCAGAAGCATATTTATTTTAACGGCAATCTATTTTCCATGCAGGTTCCACTGTTTCTAAGAAACACCATAAATGTACAATATAACAAAGAAGAAGGGTAGGTCCTTCGTATTACAATCTAATATAACTTTCTCTCTCTCTCTCTCTCATTCGCGCGCATTCTCTCTCTTTCTCTCTTTCTGTTTCTCCCTCTCTTTCACCCTCTTGAATATCTGATAAACAAATTTACACCGACGAAATACATTAACAGAGCTATCTAGTACTTAGAGCACATCGAGAAATACAGAATACAGAATTAAACTAGAAAATTTCAAGAGTGAAATATATCGTGAAATATAACAAGTTAAACATTTAGATACCAGTACTTATATCATCAAAATACGATAAAGTACCAATAAAAAATAAAAAAATGCGTATTGAACGAGTCGGTAGCGTGTATTCTGTCAAGAGTTGGGGTAGAAGTTTATAATTTTTTTTCCTGTTTTGACAGTCAATTACCTTAAATATCTCTCACTACGCTTGTTGTAAGAGGTAAATAAGGAAAAAATTAGAAATAGTAATGGAATAACAGTATTGCATATTGGTGGTTAGCTCATAGACACTTGTCCGTTAGATAGTAGTCGTTCAACAGCAGCGTTTATATCTCCAAATGTGGCGATTAGTGCTGAAAATAATATATATTACATATTACGCACGCTATATATTTTTTATACCTTTATACTTTTAGGATGCATTTTGTGTCACATGAATAATTAGTAAAAATAAAATAAATATTACTTTTTTTTATTTAAATATTCTAATATAGTTTTCCTTGTTAGAATTTCTGTTAAAATGTTTACTTTTCACTAAACATAGAATGTTAATACGAACTAATTAATCAATTAAAGATCAAATCTCTTTACTTAAGTCTATTGAAATAAGTAATATATACGTAAATACAAGTGAGATATGATTCATGTAAAAAAACCATAAACTATACATAAGTACAATTGAGATGTAATTGATTAGTAAGTGAAAGAACAGCGAAAAATTAAAAAAAAGATATGCATATTGTTACCTTGTAAATTAGCTTCTCTATTAACAAAACCCATAGCCGTAAGTTGTTCTAATTGAGCTCTGTAACGTTCTTCCGGTGGGGGAACAGGTTGGCCATCAACTTCTACGCCTTGATTTAGCGCCATTGCAGATACCTATCAAAAATAAAATTAATAACTAATTCCTTTTACACATAACGTTCGTAACAATAAACGTTTACCATGCGTGCCATAAATTGAGAGAATGCAGCATCTTGTTGGTTCGTGTCTGATGATTCCGTCGTCGGTGGATTTGTTGTACCTCCACTAGGTGTTGTAGTCGTAGGCGGTACAGTCAGACCCATGCTAAAAATAATACGTCAATCAGTTTCCAAATTTAGCACTATATAAAATTATATAAAACATTTATGTTAATAAAAATTTACTTTTCAACAAGATCCGGGGCAACAGTACGTAACTGTTCCATGCCTTGTTGAATTTGCATGATAGCAGCTAAAGCATCCGGATTGGTGACGACATTTTGAATTTGAGGATTTTGCATTTGCTGAATAAACGCGGGCATCATGGCTCTCATCTGTTCTTGCATCTGCGGATTTCCTCGAAGAAAAGGATTAGCAGATATCATTCTATTGGTCATAGCTGGATCTGCTGCCAAAGCTTCTAACATAGACCTTGTGTATGGAGCATTTAACATATTTCGTATTAACTGTGGATTTTCCATCATTTGAGCTGCAAGACTTTGCATTCCTGGTGAATTCATTAGACCTCTTCCTTGTTGCTGTTGCTGCTGTTGCTGTTGCGGTTGTTGATTTGAACTGTCGCTTTGATTCTGAGACCAAGGATTTGGCAATGGATCTCTATTTTCTTGACCTTGTTGTGGATTATTTTGGCTATCTTCGCTACTATTATTTTGCACTAACGCTGCAAACGGATTTTGTTCATTTGCTGCTGCAGCAAACATGGGCTCTTGAATGTCACGATACATGCGACGAAGCGCACTATAACCGCCAGGAATGCTTTCTAAATTAGATATAGCTCTATCATGGGAACGCATTAATTCTTGAAGCATTGATGGATTACGTGCCAACTCTATCGTTTGTCTGAAAAGGGATATGAAAATATTACAAATATTACATTTACACATTTATAATATGAATTTTTTAAACTTTAGTTATATTTTAAATGATTTCATTCTTACCTCAACAATTCAGGATTATTCAGCATATGACTAATTTCTGGATTACTTTGCATTAATTCTCGCATTTGTGGATTAGCTGCAACCAAGTTACGCATACTTTCTGTATCATTCATCAAACTCTGCACCAATGGATGATTAAGTACTTGATGCAGCGCCTCTGGATTTAACAATAGTTCACGTTGCATACGTTGTTGTAAATCTATAAAGTTAGTGGACCCTGAACCAAGCGATGTCAGACCTGCAAGTCCTCCTAAACTTCCTAATCCGAAAGGACTGGCGTTTATGTCAGCTATAAGAATCAAAATAAACCAGAAATTAAAAATATTATAACATAAAAGATGTATGTATATCATAATAATAACGATAAAGATAAAACTGAAATTAAATATCTCTCACTGTCTGATTCATATACCTTGTGATCTTTGAGATGTAGAGTCTTGACTTTGATTAGTGGGAGTGCGTGGTGCCTTGATAACCAGATGTACTGTCAACCCATCTTTCACATTGTGTGTGCTCAAAGTTTCATGATCCTTCATAATCTTCCCAGCAAAGATTAGGCATAATTGTTCTGTCTGTGCATTGAATTTCTTCGAGATTGCTTCTTTGAACTAGAAATTTCAAATGGGAATAATTATCAAAACTAACCCAATAGCGACCCAAGTCATGTTATTCAAGCTGGAAAATTTGATCGTTGGCGAAGCTGCGGAAATACAGGGCCGAAAAGCTTACGTCCTTAATACTCGCATCCTCCTCAATCTCGACAGTTTGTTTTTCTTTTGGCGTTTTGACGTTAACAGTAATTTTCTTTCGAGTATCCTGACCTTCTGCCATCTTGAATCGGTAGATGACTCGTTACTTTCGACGCTTTCGATTCTCCCTCGTCGAGGGCCAATTGCGCACCACTTTTCTCGAACACCTAGACTCTTTTTCTATACCACAGAAATTTACGTTTACGAACCGATTCCCAAATCAACTAACGCTAAATTTTGTTAACAAGTTATTCGAAAAAACTATAAAGATTACATAGAAGGGTCAACTTAAACGACTATTCTATGAACCACAATATATAAAATGATGAAAAGTACGCGATATGTCAATCCTCCGTATATAGTTCCGTTTAAGCAATAGAACATACCGAGTTTATTGAGGAAATAATCGCCTCATCAAACGATCCCTATATAAATACGTAAATGATAGAATTATAGACTCTTACTGGAAAATATATCGTTTGTAAAAAAATCACAATTCGTTGTGTTGAGAGGTTATGTTGCGTTGCCACTACCGTAACTTTAAAGTACTAATGCAAACTTGTTTGTGTCGTGTTAAATATCTTTCAAGAATATATTGTATCGTTGATGAATGATGTATTTCACTAAGAAATTATGAAATCTAAAACTCACAGCAATAATTTAATAATTCAATAAAATATATATTTTTAACGGAGTTATTATTATTATAATATTTATTAAGTAATATATTTACTAATTAACGTAAAACATTGTTTTGTAACAGTACTGTATAGATGTAGTATTTCAATGATGATAATATATTAAATGTTAATTATAACATTAATTTCTAATTTTATTACTATCAGATCATTAAAAACCATAATTTCAATGATATTACATTGCAATAATTTATTTTTAATTCAATAAAATTATTTACTATTAAAGATAAAAATTCCAGTCAATTATCAATTTCTACCCCCCTTTTTTTTAAAGGATTGAAAAATTGCGAAGGCAAGTTTATTTTTATTGAAAAATATTTACCTAAAAATACAATTTCTTTTTAACATAAAAGACAATACGACTGATTAAAAGGAAACCATTTTATTATTTAGAATTCATGAAAAAAATATATTAATCCACTTTTATTGCAGAATCGTCGATTTTCCTTTCTGGGTTTCCAGCCCTCTCTGACTCGGCTTCTCAGCTGATGCCGTAGCGTCGCTGTATACACAGCTGTTAAGAAGGGCCTTTCATTTCAGTAAGGAACAGATGATCATCTCTATTAATCCAATATGTTCAACCGTGGCTTTTGCTTGAGGCCTTCCATTTTGTATGAAATGATTCAATATATTCGATATTGACACCTGAACATTTGAACAAGTTAATAATTAATATGTAACGTATAAAAAAAAAGATTATGTTAAGAATCAATTTAATCTAAAGAGTAATATTTAATAAAGTGTTATAAAGATTAATAATTGAAATAATTAAAATACCTGCGCTCTTTGCCAATCCTTCAGGGCTAAAAGTAAGGACTCTCTTTTCATCTGGATTACAACCAGTCAGTAATGTCACAACTGGCATTTCTGCATCATTTATCATACCAACTTTCGTCTGTTGAGTAAGATAGTGGCAACACTCTATAATTTGGAAAAATAACCACGCTTCTTTATCCTTTGGTCTTGGTCCTTTAATGAACGGCAATGCTAGACGCTCATGAGGTCTTTGAGCTCGAAGAAATCTCGAGCCACGCTTCAATTGAGCTTCTAACCAACGTGTTGCTTCTCTTGCTCGGCCACTAATACGTTTTACCTCGTCCAATGCAGAAACAACTAAACATTATCGTTTTTAATTAGAGCAATGATACGAAAAAAACAACATAACAGACTTTTCATAATTTTCTTTTGTTTTCTTTTTTTTTACATACCGACACTAGGAATTACAACAATAAACTTCTTAGCGTATACCAAACGCTTTAAAGCTGGTGTATGCTTAGATAAAGCCTCATGATCAGGTACCAAGTAAGGAGACATAAGCCTAGATCTCAAACGAGTCTCTAGAGCACAGACTTCCGCTTTTAACCATAATTTTCCCATGTGTCTCATTAATTTCCCACGAGAATGATCCATATCCCAATCTTTACCGTTAGCAATTGTATGAGAAGTATTTAAATCAATTGTCACAAACAACTGTTTTGCTTCTTCATATTTTACTCCTGCATCTTCGACGGAGCTAAGAAAATGTCCAAATTCAATTAATTTTAGTGCTCTCAGTAGGGTTTCTTCTTGCTTATTCATTTTATGCTTATAAAGTATCTTCCAATTCAAAGATTTTTGGGCATCTTCCAGAAGATTTAATCCTCTCAAATCAATATCTTCCGGTAATGGAACTATCTTCACGCATTCTTTCAATTTATCTGCACTCGATAAAATCATGCTGTCGTCCTTAAAATTTGTCAATAATGTTTTAGTATTTATATTGATTAAATTCAACAAAATTGTAACACGTTTTAACAACGTGCGTGAACTTTTTCCACATATTCGTATAATATCTGGATTACTTTTTAACCAATCGCAACATATTTTAATAGACGCTAATATTTCTTTTCTAGCTATGATATTTAACACATCTTCTGGTTTTAAATTTTGTTTTTTTAATTGAGCAATGTATGTTAATCTATTCGATGATGCACTATTATCATCAAACGGACTGTTAGTTTCTGTACTTCCAGAATTAGCTATAGAATCGTTATCATTAACCTTTTTCTCGACTTGATCATCAGGTATTTGTGAGTCATCGTTCTGCACATGAACAGTGATTATCTCGGGTGTTTCATTTTTTCTTTCTATTTCCACATGACCATTCACGTTTCGCGTTTCAGAAATATCAGTATCTTCTTTATTTACTTGTACAGATGCACCTTCGTCATCCGTAACATCAGACAATGCATCTTCTGATAATGCATTTTCTTCGCTTAATATGTCGTCCTCCGTTTCAGAAACATCAGAATTTATTCCATCGCTAGAGGATTCCATAGTTGCATGATCAACATCACTTGCATCTGAATCGCTACTGTTCCTCCGTTTTCGTCTTCGAAGCTTCGTAAGCAAACTTTTAGTTTTATCTCGAGTTTTTCGTGAACCATTTTGAATATCTCCATTGTTTTCTAAACTTTCCTTTTCAGAAAATATTTTGTTGTCACTTATAATTTTATTTTCGTTATTTTCATCTGAGTTCAGTTGTTTTATGGCATTATCTTTTCCTTCCACGTCTACTGATTTGATGTTGTAATCTTTATCTGCCGAATTTGACAGCTCTATGTTGGGTAGCGACAAATCTATAAAAGATTCTTGTAATCTAGTTATTGTAAACTGTATTAGTTGAGACAGTATTGCTAAAGTTATGGCAACAACTCCTTGTACCTCACTAGATTCTTTACTTTTTAATCTTGAAATAGACATTAGACATATGGCCACAATTTTGAATATCATGTCATCTGTTAAATAATTCGTTTGCTCATTTTTACAGTTTTGTAGATATATTTCAATATTACTCTCATTTTCATTGGTATTAGTATTCATATCATTTGGCTCGGATTGTTCTGTACTCAAACAATTTTCGATACTAGTTAAAAGATCCTGTAAAAAATATAATAAAAATACAGATTAATTTTAATAATTTATACATAAAATTAATACATACCTGACATTCCTGATTTATTCGATCAGAATTGGGCACATCATATTCCCACAATTGTAAGAGAGAAAATAATCTTGAAATACAAACGTGTGTAAGATATTTCTCATCTGTACAAACAGAATGTGTAACAATGGCTCTTTTTAAATTTCCTTCTGCTCCTTCAAATGGTTCAGAACACAAAATGCTGTAAAATAATTAAACTAAGTTTTTAAAATTTGCATACTCAGTCCAAAAATCATTATCTCATATATTTATTAAAATATAAAATAAAAAAGATATTCTAACCATCTCATGTAATGATATGCTGCATCAAGGCCATAATTTTTATTGCCTGCTATAGTACCCAGTTGATTATGTGGCATTCCAATATTTGGATCAACTGCTATAGCCATTTTATAATATCTTTTTGCTATCATTGGATCCCAATATGGATCTAATTCCAATTTATACCTAGCTAAATCTCCAAGGCATACTAGACTTCTATGAATTAAACGCATAATACATTGTCTCACTTCTTCAGTATGATGTTTCGATTGATTGGCTTTACTTTTTGCCTAAGAGTACAAAAAAAATGTTTAAATGTTTAAATATGTCACATATGTACTGTGTAATTAACATAATACAAATATTCTCAAAGAGATTTACATTTAATAATCCTGTTACATTTTGTGTGAATACAAAATCGATAGTACCAACTAGATCTAAATCATATTCTAGTTGCAGTTTCAATATTAAATGATGATAAAAACCAACTCCTACTGCCAGATGGACATATAACATTGCTTTCTCTGTTTCATTCCATGCATTACCCTGAAATAAGATTCGTATTAATAGCAGATATTGTTTTTACAAAAATAATATAATAAACACAATGTTAAATTATAATTTATTATTATTATTATTATTATTATTATATGTAACATACAACTATTAATTACCTTTCGTAATTTTTTAGATGCATAAACAATATCATAAAATGCTTTCCTCCATAGTAATTCTTCAATTTTACGTGCATACTCAACTGGATCTTTAGTTATTAATCTTACACAATAATCTTTAAGCTTCACCCGTAATGTCTCCCCTGAAGGAGTAAATAAATCTGTTACTGTTAATGCACGACTCTTTAGTTCATCTAACCTCTTGGCAATATCTGTTATACCCCTGTTAATTAAATATAATCCTGGTCATTAATTCATTATAGACTCTTAAAAACTCAATTTAATTTTTGAAAGAAATAACAAAATGTCAGGCAGAAATGTTATTATGAATAACAATGATCTTGTTGAATTATTAACATTAAAAAAGTTTAAAAAATACTTGAAATATATAAGCATGGTTATAACCATTAATTAATCTTCGAGTGAACTTTGCAACATAGAAGTATATTTTATAAATGTATAAATTTCTTTTATATAATTGTTTCGTATTAAATAATTAAACAAAATGAATATATAATGATAAAATGAATATTCACACGATAGAGATATTTATATGTACATTGATAATATAATTTTTCACAGAGAAAATTAACTAATGAAAGTAAGTAGTACACGCGTAAAAGCGCGCCAATAGATCATGCTGTAAGAATAAGTAAGGTTATGTTAACACAAGGTGAGTATGGATGTTCCAACAACATCGAACAAACTTCTTGAAATATATAATATCGAAATAAATAATAGAAAAAAAAAAAAAAATTTCTGATGTCACCATAGTTTTATATTACTTGTGCAAACGTCTTGTTTGTTCGAGACAATCGGCCGTTCGGACATTTGCTGCAGCGTTGTACGTCCTCCTCATTTTGCTTCGATCATTTTTCACTTCCTGGCCGCTTCGTCATTATTCATTTTCCCGCGGTCTTTTGACACGCGCATCTCCGTCCCACGGTAAGAAAATTCGACATTCGCCCTCGCCTAACTCCAGAAACCTCCCACGAACTGCGGAGCTCACCACAATTACACGTACGTACATGTACATATGATTTACTTATGGTACCGTCGCAGGAAGATCATCTGGAAAACTTACGCAACAATGTTGCCAAAACCAATCAAAATTATTTTCAAAACTATATACTAATGATTAAGAGAAACTTAAAAATTTAATATTTATTTTAAAAATGTAAGCTGCGACATTCAAAAGTATCAAAATGTTTAAAACTTCGTTCCAAAAGTTGTTTTCAGTATAACTTATGTATGTATGAAGCAGAGTTGCCAGTTCCCTACTGTAGAAGCCGCCTGACGTCACATAGATCTATATACACTAATACGATTTATACAGCGTTTACATCATTCGACGGATTTAAGAATGTTTACATTTATCGTGTAGTGTTCATTGTAAACAAGACTTTATCAAATAGATGTTAAATAATATTTTAATAAAGTAATACTTTGATTGTACATTATTTTTTAGTTAGAAAATTATTACAATTTTACTAGAGTAGCCTTAATGAAAAGAAATATTTTCGCTTAACCTCATTTTTATTTTTTAACATGTAAATGTGGTAAATATATAATACTACTATAAGTCTATATTTTGCTTAAATTTTATAGTTTTTGATGCAATGGATATTACTGCTCCTACCCCACAAGATCTTCAAAGAAAACTATATTTTTTGGTGGAGCAACTCCAACACATGGCTAGCGAACTTCCTCCAAAATATCAAATGCGTCTTCCCTATGAATTGTTATCTGGTTTAGCCAATTCTCTATTAAATGATACAATATTTGAAATTGTTAAGGGATTAATGGAGATACAGCATGTTACAGAGAAGCATCTTTTTCAACAACGTCTTCAGCTTTTGAATCAACAGAAAATTGAAATGCAAGAATCATTATCATCAATGTATACAGATGAAGAAAGAACAGCAATAAAAGCAACATTATATAAAAAGCACAAAGAAGAACTTAAGCAAATGGACATGAAATTAGTCCTTCAACTAGATCAGAAAGTAGCGGATCAACAAAGTATTTTAGAAAAGGCTGGTGTACCTGGCTTTTATGTTACAAACAATCCAATAGAAATTCAAGTTCAAATGAGACTGTGTGATTTCATAATTAGATTGAGTAAAATGGAAGTTCCAAGATAATTCATAATTCATAAATTTATTACTTTTGAATAAAATATTAAATTGTATAATTTATTTATTTCAACAAATTGTACAGTAGTTTAATTAATATAGTATTTCTTTTTGTATAGTAGCCTTTTTCTAAAAATAGTTATTTACTAATTAGTTATATATAAATAATTTAAAATATGCACTGTATTCACAGTTTCCTCTTAAATTGGAATATCAACAAAACATATTTATAGAAATATATTCTTTTTTATTAATTAAAAATTTTTTGTTTTTGCACTTCTATGAATTATGTACATCGTTTTTATTTGTGTAGCAAATAACACTGTACAATGCAGAGTAAAATCTGCATACGGACAAGTCTTACATCATATTGTGAATGTTAATGTGAATTCCATTATTATTACAGCTATAATATGTGACAATAATAAAGAATATTATTTTATATATACAATATTTTTTAAATTGTTTATTTTAAAAAAAGATATTAATATATTTTGACAGTAGCAAAAATTTTAATTCCCTTTCTGATAATCTTTATTTTGATATTAAAAAAATGATATGAAATTGCAACTGAGATTAATTTTCATGAAATTTTTAATTTCTTTTTTTAAACTTATCAGCTCTCTACTATTTTTATTTCAATGATTTTATATAAAACAATATAGAATAAATTCAATTATTTTCAAATCTGATCTGCAGTGAATGTTTTAAGTAAACCAGACATATATAGGATCGTACGATAATCAATCTTTACATTGTATAAGTACTTAGTCCTTAAATAATTCAGTCAGTACTTTTACCTAAAAGTGGTGCGCTTTGTGGCTGTGAAATATCAAAAGTTAAAGATTTTTCATGACGAATAGTATCGCTTTCTTGCTGTGGTGCAAAACATATGCGATACACATCTTCGAAAGTCGAGGCAAAATGAACTTCCAGACCGTCTGTAATATATTTAGGAAGATCATTGTAATCTTTTTTGTTTTCTTCAGGTAGAATTACACAATTTACACCAACTCGTTTTGCCTAGAAAATAAAAAAAATACACATATTACAAGACATGATATACTTAATAAAAACTTATTTTGTGTATACTCACAGCAATTGTCTTTTCTTTAATACCACCAACAGGAAGAACTCTACCCATGAGACTCAGTTCACCAGTCATCGCAACATTTTGTCTAATTGACTGATTCTTAGCAAGCGAAATCAATGCTATTGCAATCGTGATACCTGCGCTGGGACCATCTTTCGGTGTAGCGCCTTCAGGAACGTGTAAATGTAGATGAGAGTCGATCAAAAAAGTATTAGATGGATCTTGTTGAGACATAAAGTTTCTTGCAACCGTCATAGCTATGTGAATAGATTCTTTCATCACATCACCTAAATGGCCTGTAAATTCTAATGTACCCTCTGATTTTTTTCCTGTAGAAGGTTTCCTCACTCTTGTTTCGATGAACAAAGTAGAACCTCCCATAGCTGTCCATGCAAGACCCATAACGACTCCAGGAGGCGTAATTTCGTACATTCTGTCATGTGTAAACACGGGTTTTCCTACAAAGTCTTGTAAATTATGCTCAGTTACATCTACTTTTTCTGTTTCTTTTTTAACCACTTTGAACGCAACTTTTCGAGTAACTTTCTCTATGTGTTTCTGAAGACTTCTTACTCCTGATTCTCGACAATAAGATTTAATTAACAAATGAAGCGCATTATCATTTATAGTGATCTGTTGATTAGTGAGGCCTGAATCATTCATAGCTTGCGGTACTAAATATTGTTTAGCGATAGCAAGTTTTTCCTCTGCAACGTAACCTGACATATCTATCATTTCCATGCGATCTCTTAAAGGTTCTGGAATCGTATCGATCACATTTGCCGTGCAAATGAAAAGCACTTTCGATAAATCAACAGGAACGTCTAAATAATGATCCAAGAAGTTTGCATTTTGCTCTGGATCTAACATTTCCAAAAGGGCAGATGCTGGATCACCTTGATGGCCTCTAATTTAAAAGAAGGTTTATATTTATATTAAATTACTAAACTATCAAAATAAATATAAGTAAATTGTAAGTGTAATTTGTATGTAAAAATTCGTAGATACATACTTTCCAATTTTATCAACTTCATCGATGAGAACAAGTGGATTTTCAGTTTTGGTCTTTTTTAAACACTGAATAATTTTACCAGGCATGGCACCTACATAAGTTCTTCTATGACCTTTGATTTCTGCAACATCTGTCATTCCACCGACACTAAATCTAAAGTACTCTCTATTAAGTGCACGAGAAATTGATTTGGCTATTGATGTTTTCCCAACGCCTGGTGGTCCGTGAAAACATAATATTTTTCCTTGTGTTGAGCCTTTCAGTTGACTAACAGCAATAAATTCTAAAATTAAAAGCAATAAAAAATAAATACGTTTTATGTAACAAATGGAATTACTCATTCATTAAAAATTTAATTACCTAGGATTCGTTTTTTTATATCTTCCATTCCATAATGGTCTTTGTCTAAAATTTCAATTGCTTGCTGAAGATTTAAATTTTCTGGGCTAGTTACACCCCATGGCATGGATGTAAGCCAATCCAAGTAATTTCTCGTCACACTGAAAATAAAATTATACTAATAAATTAAAAATTAGTTTAATTATTTGACATGGAAATAATATTTTGTTCATGTTCAAGTAACCAAAAATTATAATACAACTAATTGGGTCATGCAAAAATAAGTTGAAAAAAAAAAGAACATTTGTTCATTTAAGGTTTCGTTTTGAAGAAAATAAAGCTTGAATAAAGTTGAATTAAGAATTTGATACAAGTGTATCGAATTTTAAAATTTAATTTCCTCGAAAACGAAGTTTTAAATGAGAAACTGGTTTTTTTTCGATCTGCTGTTGCATGTAACATAATTCTACTAGAATCATTATTTGGTTGGTTATATCACAATTTTCGATATATCCTGTATGTTAAAATTTTATAAATACAGATTACAGAAATAATACATACTTAAATTCACTACTGTGACTCTCCAAAAAATTTAATTTATTTAATTCTTCTTCCAGCACATCCATTACTGCTTTTGGAACTGTTTTCTCTCTTATACGTTCTCTATATTTTTCTCCTATAGCATCTTTGTCATCTTTTTCAAGACCCAATTCTTTTTTAATAACTTTTAATTGTTCATGAAGAATATATTTTCTGTGCTGTTGTTTAACCTTTTCTTCAACTTCTCTACCAATTTTTTGTTGAAGTTTACTTAATTCATATTCTTTCTTTAAAAGTGCCAGCGACAATCTTAATCTTTTTGAAATCTATAAAGTTGTTATTTTAGTTGTTTAAACAATTAATTTTAATGGCAATAGATACAATTACTCACATCCATTTCTTCTAATACTTGTTGCAATTCTTGTGCATCTGCTCCTGTTAGAGCTGCACCCAAGTCACTCAAATAAACGGGATTATCTACAACTCTCTGCCCTTGATGCAACATTTGTTGTAAAGACTCACGGTACAATGGATTCATACTTATTATATCCCGAATTGTTTTGATTAATTCTTGTGTCAAAGCCTGTTAATTTATTCTTACTTTATTATAATTCTAATATAATAATATTATCTGTAATATATTAATACATGATATGTATTCAGAAAATAAGAAATATGATATAAGCTTACTTTAATTTCTTCAGTCTGCCTAAACTTCTCGTGAGTAATATTTACAACTTCTACCATTAATAAAGCCTGAGGATTGCCAGTTTGAGCTGTTGAATCTGTCGAAAGATTTACTTTTTCTTCAACTTTCTCCTGTGCTCCTTCGATTATTTTATTTTCAGAAGTATTAACTTCTTCAATTTTCTGTACTAGTTCTGGTATTTTGTTTTCCGTTTTTTTACGGATTAATGATCTACGGCTTGCTTTGCCACCCGAAACTGGATCATCTACAGGAACATGAATTGTTAAATTGGTGTTTAATCGTTTTAGTATAGCATTTATGTACAAATTATTAGGTAATTTTATCAAATTTTAAAAAATATTTGATGAAAAATTTTTTTTTACAAAAACTTTAATTTATCACATGCTTCTATGCGTGTCACACAGATTTGTGACTTGTTGGAAATCTATATTTCATAAGGCATATTTATACACATTCACACAATTTATATATGCTCACTCATACATGTAATCATCCCACTCATTGATTTCCATTCATTCTCATGTTTCATAGAAATCCATATTATTAGTGTTTATAAAAAATATTCAGCAGACATTTTTTACATGCCTTATATACACTGTAAATGTTTAACTAATCTTACCTTGAGGTTTTGGAAGTTCTTCTAATATTTGACCAACAATCTTAATTCTTCTATGTGCCATTACAACTAATCTCAACCGATTTCCTAAATCTTGTACTTCATGTATCTGTGCAAATGTTCCAACGGGATAAATGTCATCTAAATTTTGTACTATTTCTGCTTCATTCCTACCAAAATGATTAAATTTAAATGTAGCAAATTTATTTCTTATTTATCAATTAAAATACACCTTTAAGTCACTTACTCTTCTGTTTTCTTTAAGAAGATTCCAACATACGGCTGATTTAATTTAACCTTTCTACGAATCAAATCTATGAGAATTGGATTACTAAGTTCTATTAATTTTATGAATCTTGGAAACACTGGATTTCTATTGATTGCTATAACAGGAACATGAGGCCATACTTCTGGTACAACCACTGTCGCTGGTAATGAAGCTGGATCACCAATATCATCTTCATTGTTACTATTACCAAATAAGATATATTGTTATTTAATAACTTGTAAATTTATACAAGAATAAAAATTTATGCAATTTATAATATGTGCAGCATTAAATAAAATTTGTGTAATTTATATGTGTAACACTAAATAAAATCATTGTCTGAATTACAGGCATATGAAAATTACAATATTATTTACTATAAAAAAAAAAAAAGATAGAGTTGTACTTAGTTTTGAAATGAATACGTCTAAAACGTAGGAAAGATTTTTAAAACGAGAAAAAGAAATTTACTTAGATGAATCTTTGTCGTTGTATCGTTTAGTGGCAAACGATCTAAGGCAGACAATAGCCGCGGTTTGTCGACGGCTGTGGATACTTTTAGCGAATGTTCCATGATATTCGTGAAGCTTTATTTTCTCAAACTGCGCTCGCACCGGCAATTCCTCGTTGCCTGGCCAATGATTTCTGCAGAACGATCGGACGTTCGTCATACGTTGCCGAAAAACGGGCAAAACCTTGAAATTCACCGCTGTCATAAAGCGCATCGTTTCACATTCGCATGAATGTCCTTATTTGTGTTAAACGTTGTGTTTGCCGCTCCAATCTACTTAAAACTTCCTTAAAATTATAACCTTACTTTATCGCTGATCAATCTGACGAAACTCTGCTAACCTAGAAGAAATTATTTGAACGTCGAACAGCTATTCCGCATTTCGTACAGTCAGTGGTCACATTCGAACGGAACGAGTCATACATTCACATTTTAATTAATTTCAATAAAACGTGCAGAAATAAAGTGCAAAAAATCGTGATATTCGTTTGTCGCGTAATTTATTTATTTTTTCTTTTCTTTTCTTTGCAAACGGCACGTATTTTCAATCGCGTAAATAAAGTACGAGTAGATGTAAATAAATTTCAAATATAGAAAAATCGGACAAAATATTGTTCACTTGGTTGCGTTAGAATAAAATTAAATTGTAATTAGAAACAGGAAACAACGGCGTGAATACATTTGTTTCTTTTTATTAGAAATAATTGTTTTACCGCGCGAACGGAAGAATAGGTAAAACAAAAACTATTGTTCTCGTCTATATAAATGTATTGAGATTTTCTTACGATCGAACGAAATCATAGTTTTAGAATGATAGGATTAAAGTTTCATCAGACGAAATAATACGATAATGTCATTTGCATCGCATGTGATTTTTTTAAATTCAGAAGAAATAGAGATTTGAAATCTTCCTCTTCCGATATATATGTAGTCACGCGTACCACGTGATTCGTTATTCGAAATTATTTAAAGTCAGTATGGCTTCGCTTGCGAGAAAGATCTTGCATATAAATATATAAATATAAATTACATATAAATATATATAAATTGCATATAAATTACGAATGTAACATTCGGCATTACCATTTTTATCTACGAATTACATCATCCAGAATATACATTAACAATGGAGCGGTGCGGCATACGTGTGAATTCAAATAATTCAAATTTTAACGGTGTTGCAACGCGTAATAACGCTGCTACGTTCAACAAACAGAATCATGTAATGGACTTAAAAAGGCTTAGCTCAAGTAAAATTTTAATTTAATTCGTATTTATTAGTTTGAACGACCAGACACTTGTATTTTATTTTATTTGTAGGAATTATGTGCTCTGATAACATAACTAGGCAAAGTTTAAACAAGAAACCAAGCGTTCGAACTGCGACTGCAACTACAGACGATGACGATCAATTTTTTAACAAGATAAAATCAGAAATTGATAAAAATCTCCTATCGTAAGAAAAATTCTATCACTGGGGTTTTTGTATTCTGATGATAATTTTCATTTTGTTTTCTCGGATTCAGACACTCTAAAGAGTATCACAGAGCACATATAAATTATCGAAGTATGGATTTATTAAGGAAAAAAAGGCCTATAATTGATGTGGAAACTCAGAATATCATCAAAAGATTTAAAAAAGATGCAAATTATATAAATTCTATGCAGTCATCGAATAATATGAATATTACGCAATTTAATCATATCGATACTGATATGAAAGAAAATTGTAACGTACCCACAGACAATAATATTACTTTGAGTAATAACAACGATGTTATTCAACGTAAAAATATGTTTTCTCCGAATATTTTAAATATAAGTTCCAGGTATCGTATGATATTAATATATTAATCCAGGATATTAGTCTGAGAAAATGAAAGATAGACTCGTAAAATAATAAATGTATTGTAAAATTTTTATATAATTTTAGAATTCCTGCTGACAAGTATGTATTTCAAGCGACTTCGAAATTGCATACAAATGTTTTATCACCTATAGATGAAAATGAAACAGCCATTCTTCATGAGGAATATGAAAAATCTTTCTTTTATGAAATGTTTCTCACTCCTCCTAATTCAATTGAGGAAGACGTAGATTTATGAACATTGTAAAATTTACAATACTGTATATTTACAATATTGTAATTAAGAAAAAATATTGTAAACAATTTATTCTAATCTTAAACATATTAGTCGTTTAAGTGATATTAATTTAAATAATTTTATCAAATTACGTAAATAAGTATATTAATAGTAAAGGTTTTCAAATACATCTTCCTTAGTTGTTATAATTTATAATTTATTTCATTTATAAATAACTATTTATATTTAAACGATCTGAAACATATAACATGAAAATATAGAAACTGTTGCAATACTGATTGAAAATTTTAAATGCACGCACGTTATTGGTCAGTCGATACAAATTTATGTAGATTTAATGAATTTAAATCTAAAATAATTTGCAACTCGTAATTTATATTTATGAAAATTAAATTAATATTTACATGAAGTGATATTTATAAAGCATTGCTTTTTATTTAAAGTAGAGAACATGGAGAGACATTCTCTCATTTAATTCGTGTCTCTTCCTACTTAACATAACCTAATTCATTTGTAACCAATGATCAAGATAAACAAATGTTTTAAATGATTACTGAAGTATCATTTTCTCAAATTCAAATACGCTAGAGAATCTCTAGCAATTTCAGCTGCAGTTATAATGGTACAACAGAAATAATCATGTTTTAAGAGAATGTCAAATATTTATTGATATAAACAAAATGAGTGAATTTAAATTACATCATTTAGTGGTTGAATTAATTGAATTACTCGGGTAAGTAGATGAAACATCTTTTATGTTGATTTTTAGTGATTTTTCATCAACAAATTTAAAAAGTTTGTATCAATTTATTAATTACAAAGTTATGTATTTACAATTTAAATATATGAATATTGTCCAATATTAAGATTGTCCATTGTAAGCGATTATTTTCTTTATAATTAGATCATCATCTGCACCAGAGAAACATGTAGAGAAATTACAAAAAGAAGGTGTACCAACGAGTGCAAGTGCTTTAACTATTGTTGCACCACAAAGTTCTATTCGTAACTTAGCAAAAAAGTCTCCTGTTCCTGAATTATTTCTTCAAAAGTATGAAGAATTAAAAGCAAAGAAGTTAGTACTATCATAAATACATATATGAGTTTAAAAAGAGATAATATTAAAATAATATCATTTTTTTTTATAGGATAGATTTGTTAGGTTTATTCATTCAACTATTAGAACTTATATCTGAAGATAAAGAATTAAAGAATTATTTGGCTAAAGAAGCATCAAATGTATCATCAATTTCTACAAAAAATGCTGCTATTACTACAGAGGATTTACCACAGGTTTTTTCATTTTTTAATTAATAATTTAAGAAACATTTTATTTTTAACTAACTTACATTGTATTGTATACAATATAGATTTGTAAAAATGTGATTAAAGCCGCTGTAGAAGGAGAAAAGAAATTAAATAAACAAGTATGTGCAATTACAAAGAAAACAGAATCGTCTATTATAAAACATAATTGGGTTTATGAGAGGCCTAGACTAACATGGGATTTTTATAATGAACCAAATGTAATGCCATGCCAAAGTGAGTATCGCTTAAGATGAATGTAAGAAATTAATATTATTAATTTAATTAGAGACAAAATGTTTACAGAAGTTGTACCAATAATTTCTCAAGAATCTATATTACTTTGGGATATCTTATATTGTTTGAAAGGTATAGATGGAACTTATATTGTTTCTGAACCTTTAACAAGTCCACATGCAGTGAAGACATTTAATATATCTCCAGATGTTTGTAAGAAGAAATAATTTTATAATAGTTAAGTGCATAATCTGCTCATTCACTTTCATAATATTATCATTTTTTAGGTATATCTTACAAACAATTGACACAACAAATATTACCTCTTGCATCACATTATTCTATGGCAGCTAGATTTGTCGAAGAAAAAGTTTTAGCAGAAGATGGTCAAGTAAATCATGCTTTGAGAGGAGCTATAAAAAGTTTACTAAAAGATTACTTAGTACGTATAATAATATGTCTCTTTAATTAGTTAATTTTAAAATGATTGTAATCAGTTTACTTATAAAGAATCTATTTATTTAAAATTTTTCAGCTATTTGTTGTACAGTTGGAAATGGAACATGTACGAGGAAAATTAAATTTACAAAAGTTGTGGTTTTATATTCAACCAACTATGATCGCAATGTCTATTCTTTCTCAAATTACATCGACTATATGTAAAGTCAGTTGTCATCTTCCTTTTTATTTTTCTACTATTTTAATACAATGAATTGATATGTAAAAATATATTTCATTCTAGGCGAATGCAAAAGGTGGTAAAGTACTCAGTCTTTTGCACGAACAAACAAATAATATTAGTGGAGAAGCAAAGTTTAAAGAATTATGTTTGTTCCTTATACAAACAGCAAGTATTCCATATATGCAAATATTAGAAAAATGGGTATATAAAGGAGTGATTTGTGATCCATATGAAGAGGTAAGGATAGAATAGATAAAATATATTAGTACATTTATGTCTAAACTGTTCGTTTATTTATTTCGTTTTAATCTAATCAATAAATTCTTTTATAATTTCAGTTTTTTGTAGAAGATAATGAATTAATTCATAGAGAGGAATTACCTATAGATTATTCTGCAGATTATTGGGAGAAAAGGTACACTATGAGATCAGAAAGAACTCCTACATTTCTTAATGAGCAGGCACAAACAATTATGAGAACTGGAAAATACTTTAATGTAATAAGACAGTGTGGTATGTAATATTTATTAATCAAGCATCAATCAAGCATTACTATTTATTTTCGAAAAATATGAAAAATCATAAAAAAATTTTACATTTATATATAGGTAAAATTGTTCAATGGGGAAAACAAGAACCTTTAATTTATCAACATCAAGGACAAAAATATATAGCTACTATTGATAGAGCTTATTCTGAAGCTGCAAAGACCTTATTGGAAGTTCTTATTCATGAAAATGATCTAATGGGTCGGCTTCGTAGTGTAAAAAATTATTTTCTTCTTGCACAGGGAGATTTTATAGTAAGCTTATATAGCAGAATGTTTCATTGATATATTAATGCATCAATATCTAATGTTCTATAACGACATTTAATTCTAGGTTCAATTTATGAATCTTTGTGAAACTGAATTAAATAAAAACATGTATGATATTGTTATTCACCGATTAGCATCTCTTCTTGAAGTTGCACTGCGTATGTCTACTGCAGATTCAGATCCATACAAAGATGATTTAAAACCAGAACTTTTACCTTATGATCTTCAATTTCAAATGTTTAGAATACTTTCTATTCAAACTAGAGAAGAAAAAGGTATAGTTTCCTAATTTCTTTTCTCTAATTTCTTGATATTGTTTGTAATGAAAATTTTTATTTTAGAGTACTGTTCTCAAACTGATAAAACCTTAACTGGTTTGGAAGCATTTGTATTCAATTATGATGTTAAATGGCCTGTTTCTTTAATACTCAACAGAAAAGCTATAGCTTGTTATCAAATGCTGTTCAGACACTTATTTTATTGCAAATATATTGAAAGACGTTTATGCAGGTTATTATATAATTTTTTAATTGGTCAGAATTTTTATCTAATACTTCTATAGATTATTAAAAATTTCATACATAATAATAAAATGTTTTGTATTATTCTGATTTCATTTTTTTTTCCAGAGTATGGGTGAGCAATAAAATTGCAAAAACTTTTACTCATAATGTTGCAATGTCGTATAGACAAGCATTTTCATTGAGACAAAGAATGCTGGATTGCATTCAACATTTAGCATATTATATGATGGTTGAAGTTATAGAACCAAATTGGCTTACTTTTATAAGCAAAATGAGTAAGGTACGATTCTGCATTATGGTAATTTTTATTTCAATAAATTTAAGTTTTATCACATTTGAAGTATTTAAATTTCATGCGTAGGTCAGTAACGTGGATGATGTTTTAAGTGTGCATCAAGATTTGCAAGATAGTTATTTGAAGGAGTGTATGTTAACAGATCCTGATCTTTTGGGTTGTATAACAGGCATTTGTTCTGCTTGTCTTGAATTTTGCAATTTTATGGAGGTAAGCGTTACAATCTTCTTATACAAATATAGAAAAATAGAGAAGGTAATCTTATATTGTTACATAATCGTGTATATGAGATATGCATATACATAAAATATAATGACAAAAGTTTGTCTAAGTTGCATTCTTCGCTTTGATTCAGATTTTTTTGAATATCTTTGTTGATCAGTGATATCTACAAAGGGCGATAGGCATGTGAAATAGACATTATAAAATAGCATTTTTTATAAAATTATTATATAGAAATAAATAATAAATAATAATAATTGAGTTTGGTATTGAGTTTGGTATTTTTGTTGAAAATAATACAAAATGCATCATATGATGCAGATTTAAAAATATCAGGACTATGAAAGATCTGCATGATGTGTTTATTATTAACATATAATTGTTATTTTATAATCATATTTTAGTAAATTTCATACTAAACATTCATAACACACATAAAACAGAAAAAAAACATAGTAGTAAACTGAATTTTAATATTTTAATAATGTTAAGCGTATGAGTCCATACTACATTGACGCCGAATTGACGTCCATGATTGGTGCCTATCAGGAAGATGTCTATGATTCTGAGGTATATCCCCAAAATTATAACTTCGCTTCCATGCATCTGTGTAGCATTAGTATCATGAAACTTTTCGTTTTTAGTGAACAAACATTGTTCCATGAAATCACGTTCATATGGTATATAAGACTCAAATTCGCATGATTTATAGATATAATACAAACTGAATCGAAATTGAAAAATTTTAAGTTTCTTATTTGGATTTTTTAAGTAATGTAAAAAGAAATATAGGTCTAAATTTTTTTTCTGATTTAAACTCTTTTAACAATACAAAAGAATGGATAGTTTGATTTTAATATGTAAAATATTAAATTTAATGCTTCTCGTAAAAAAGAATATTTTTATCTTTTTTTTGTATATAGTGATATGTAACTTGTACTATGACAGTTACATAATGTTAATACTATAATAACATTATCATTATTAATTCATTCATATAATCATCCTAATAACAAAATTTTACCATTAGAATCAATTGTTCCATTATAAAATTATACATATTTAATGAATTCTAGAAAATTTGCGTAAAGTAAAACAAATACATTAGTTATAATTTTTATTGTATGTAAATTTTTTAAAATTCATTGAATATATATATCTTTTCTTATAATAAATAGTATATATTATAACTATATATATCTTTTGTTATCATATATCATATTTTAATTCAAAGTTGATATATAAACATATAATACTTCAATAAATAGTAATATTGCATGTAGATTTTATATTAAACATTATTTATTTGTAAATGATATACAATAATACATAATAATAGTGATTATATATGTATAAACAAAAGTGATCATTTTATTAATTTCAAAATTTGTTTTCTATGAAATGCATGCAAGTTAGATTTTGTAGCCATCAATAGTGTTTCTGAATATTTGTTTTGATACAAATAGTATGTCAATAATATGTAATATTTAAAATCATGATTGTATAAGCATAATACATCTTATTACGAATTATAATTTTTTATCATAAAATTATATTTGTAATTAGCAGAATTATTTCGTTTTCAGTTACAGGTATATTATTTATTTAAGTAATATGATGCATTTGCGTTCTCTGTAATGATATATTTTATAAATGTCTTTCAGACATCATTATATACATTATACCCATTTTTTATAATGTATGCTTCTTAATCTTAGTTTTACAAAGGGTCTCGTGTTGAATTTATTGAAATGAAATATGAAATTAATAGTGCTATATGTTTTTATGACTTCTTAGGACGAAGATGGAGATATGTACAAAGAAAATGCAGCTAGTTTTGAAGAAACTATCATATCGTTGGATGAGAAATTTACTCAAGTATTAATTCGTCTTTTAGATAGAATATGTGATCTAGGATGTGATAACAACAATGAAAAACTTCTTAATGTCTTTTGTAGGTAAGTTTCATCATACAATTCATATAAATAATTGTACTACAAAATATGCATAGAAAATGCAGTACTAATGGATAAAATGCGATTCATTATGAAAAAATTAATAACAATAAAGAATAAAATGTTTTTGAGAAAATTGTTTAAAAAATTACGTATTTTACGAAATACTATATATATTTTTTATATAAATAAAAAATGAAACTTTTCAACATTGTCATTATATTTTATTGTTTTTTTTAATTAGGCTAGATTTCAATTTATTTTATACCGATATTTTGATACGACGTGGAAGAGAAAAAACAATGCAAGAGGATGTTTCCGGTTAAATACTCAAACTCAGCAGAAGATTATACAGCCATAGGTATATCCGTAGCTTCTGATTAATCTAACATTGTAGAGTTACATATTTTGCATAATATTTATTTCGAATGTAACGGCGATTTGAAAAGATCCTTGCTAGATAATATATCAGATCTATCATTTGATCAGTCTAGGATCTATATTGATCCTTAAACTTTTCAAATCGCCGTCATATTAAAACGTCCACACAAGTTAATAGTATAGTAATTCTAAAATTTATAGATGAACAAAATTTAATTTATTTATGCATTACATGTTTCATTTAAATTATTTAAATTCATTTTGAATGAATTTTTTGCAAATCGTGTAAATCACTAAAATAAAGACTATTTTGTACACTTAAAAAATAAAATATATTTTATAAACATGAAAAAGATTTACAATTTGATAAAAAAATATTTTTATAGTAATTTTACTTCTGAAGAATAATCTTTTATATTTAACAAATGTTAAATCTTTTTTATTTAACAAGTGAAGAAAGTTTAACTATTTCGGCATGTTATTAAAAGAGTGATATTTAATCCATTCAGCCTAAATTACGAATCAGATTCATGCATGGCTTGATGTTATTGAGTTTAACTAGTACTTGTAACTCTTAGACAATTTTAGATATTTTTAGTAGATATTTGTAAGTATTTATATGTACTAAAATATATATTACGATTGTAACACTGTATTACTATGTCATAATGTCATCTTATGAAGTAAATGTTGGTTCGTCCACGCAAACCGCAAAATTTTTGAAGATTGAATGGATTAAAGTAGCTGTATGATTCAGTCTTAACATTGACTCTATAAAAGCTTTAAACGCTTTTAATTATATATAAAAGATGTTGAACAATTTTACTAAATAGTTTATTAAATATAATAAAAATATTATAACAAACACTTGGTAACATAGATATAAAAATACAGTTCTTTCAATATGGTTACAGCTAAAAAATTAACATGTTCAATCGTTGTTACAGTTAACAAATCTGGAAGAATAAATATTTTAATTTCCATCAGCTTCCTCAAGATTAAAATTATTATTCTCAATCTTCTGTTTGATGGAATCCAAAATAATTTCCATTGTCGCAAGTCTTTTTTCCAACTTCTCTAATTTGCTGAACATTTTTTCATTGTCTGATTCTCGACCTCTTTCTGTTAGAATATTTTTAGCCTGTTTCGTGATATATGGATCCATTTTGAAATTAGAAAACACTTTATCTCTAGAGCCTTTGTCGGACTTGACGTTGTGATACAATTTGTTTCCATATGCTTCCAAGATATCGTACGGTTTTACACTCAATTTACCATTAATCAAGTAACTGGGGAAGAGAAGAACTTTTTGAACGAGAAACGCTAAAGGATTGTACCTCCAGCTATGCAAATAGCTGCAACAAATCGAACATTGTGTCCTGTATATGAAAGGTACTTGAACAGCCAGATTTTCGATATAAGCAAGAACTTGTATCCTAGAAATTAGTCCAATTAATTCCGCCTTTCCGAGAATCTCTGCTGTGTCGCTGACTGCCAAACCGTTTAGCAAATTGAACAAAACTATAGCGATGAGGAAGACAAACAGAATGAAGACAAGATGGCTGAGAATCGGATGCGACACGAAAGGAATGTCATTAGCGTCGAATTCTCCAGTGAGCATGATGATCGTTTTGAACAGGGAATGTCCAGGATCTGGAAAGTTACTATCGGATCCATCCTTGAAGAGTGTGAAGAAAGCAAATGCGAAGGCTAGGATGAGAAATGCATAAAGCAGCAGAAAACGCACGAAATTGAAAGACACTGTTTTGAACATTTCAATACCAGTGGACATTCGAGGATGCTTGCCAATTAAAATCACCATCTCCCAGGCAGATAATAATATCGTAATAGCTGCAGCCTGTGTAGATGCATTATTTAACATAACGAATCCTAGCACTATCAACGCAATTTCGATCCAGTTTTCTAAACTGGACACGTAATGACACGGCGATGAAAGTAGTTGAAGGATCTCTCTGAATGCAAGCAACGCTGTCGTGATACCAGTGAGTACTCGCAGAACGTAGATGGAAGTTGATTCTTTCATATCTTTATCGACTGATTCGCTCGAATTCGCGGATATTTGCGAATCTGTCGCGACGTAAGTGATCTGCAGAATGTACGTATTCAATAGAAGATAAAACAAAATGTAAAAGGCGAAGTTTAGATACAGGATGTATCTTATCCGATGTCATTTTAGGTATAAAAAAGAAGACAACAGAGGATGCTTCAATATATGTTTCAAGCCACTGTTACTAGCAATGTATCGAAAAACGTCCATTTCCCGTTGATTAATTGTATTTTTCGCGACGTTGTAGTTATCGTGAGGCATTAAACATTTGTAGTCAAATTCAATTGTATATTCGTTTGTTCGTTCTTTCTTAGCTTGTATGCAGCTGTCGAAGTATTGAGATAGAGTGGATACGGAAATATCGGCAACTGGTGGAACACCAAAATTATTCATGTGACCAATGTAGCTTCCTTTCTCGAGTAACAGTGTCACTGCCTCACGACAATCAGCTCTGGCTGCATAATGAAGTGGAGTATTTCCTTTGCCTATACATTTTTAAATATGCGTCATAAGCTTTATTATCTTTCTCTCTTTCTTTCAGTTATAAATAAATATGAAATAAGTATAAAAACAAATATGTTGTACATATATTTTAAAAGTGAATATAATTGAAACAAATTTTTCAGGTGAAGCAAAAAACTACTTGGAAACTTACAAAAAAAAAATAGATGTATTTACATAATATTGTTATTAAACACGTGAAATAAATTGTAAGAAACAATATTTAAATATTATTTTTATATTCTTAGTCTTCTTACATAGAATTGAATTATTCTAAATTGTGATATTTCTAAAATAAGCGTACAGTATACTTACTATCTGTGCATCGAACATCCACATTTTCTCTTTCTAGGATCAGATTTAAACATTCTAAACGATTATCCATGTATCCCGATCCTTCTTTAGTCGGTATACCAAGCTCTAAGCAAGCATCCAACAACAAATTGTTAACATCAACATCAGTCTCCAATAATTCACGAAGGATATCTGGTGAGCCTTGTTGAACTGCTAAACTCGCAGCTTTTTCCAAATTACATCCAATTCCTCTTGTTCTTTTCAGCAATGTAACAACCGCATCCTTCAAGTCCTTTTGCACGGCCATTTCAATCAGATCCTCCGCTTCATCATTCACCACGTCGTCTTGAATCATCTCCAAGCATCTTAGAAAATTGATCTCGTCATTAGCGTTTAAATAGTACTTCAAGTCATGAATATTTACGCCCCGTTTTTCGACAAGAGGTAATTGGAGATTTGGTAGCTTCTTCTCCAACACTTGTCTAGTCGTTTGATTGTTATAGTCCTTGTAAATATCCAAATTAAGAGCGTGTCTAGTTTTTTCCAGAATTAGATTCACCATGTCTTTTTGACCCTTCATGCCAGCCATATGCAATGCGGTTAAACCTTTGTTATTGGGAATGTTAGGACTGGCGCCTTTTTCCAAAAGTAGCAACGCACAATTCAAGTCATTCTTCTTCACCGCCATGTGCAGAGCCGTTTGCTGTCCAGCCTCCAGATTTGGATTTATTGTAGATTCATCCAACAATATACTAAGGACATCCGTATGGCCATTTTCGGTGGCAAAGTGGATCGGTCCACGATTATGGATTTCGTTCACTCTATTTATCTTCGCCCCTTTTTCCAACAGAAATTTCACGAATTCCGGAAGACCATTCTTGCAGGCAATATCTAAGCAGGTTTCATTCGATCGATTTGGATAAGCATAGTTTATATTAATAATGGATGGTTGTTTTCTTAAATTCTGCTCGACGAGACACTTGAAGTGTCTGAAATTCTTGGTTCGTAGATAATCTAAAAGCAGCTTGTATATGGCTTGGGATTTTGCAGAATTTGTAGTATAACTGTGCAAAAGGTGCATTTGCAGGGATTCCTCCTCAGGATCCATGTTTGAGTCTGTAAGTAAATCACGTTCATTGTATTAAAGAATATGAAACTAGAGCCTAACAGATGTACAGAAATTGAATTTCTTCATTTTATTTTTATGAAAAATTTGGATGCACAGAGCATTTTAAGGTGTAATATAAAATATGTTATAAATATATATAATAAGGTGTAATATATAATATCAATGAACACGACTACTTTATCAAATTATTTTATAAATCGAATACTTTTTCTCGCGAAGTGTACATACAAGAAATATCGCCTTATTTTATTTATTATAAAAGATAATTTCGATATTTAATGTCTTGCTATAAAAACATTGCTAAATTTCGTATATTGTACTTGGAATGAAGCAGGATAAGTGTGCGTAATATCCTACATATTAAATGTATAATACGTAGGTGTAGAAATCATCACGATATAATTTCAGCAATGATGTCACTAACACGTGTTTTATCGAGACTAGTGAAGATACATTACATTAATTCCTTACAAGTATCTAATACCTATGAGGTATAAATATAACTCAAAACAATTAAAAGGTGTTGAACAATTTATTAAACAATTTAAAGAGACAATTCAAATATCAAACATTAAATTTATAATGCTTAAATAAGTCGAAAGAGATTGTTCGTTCTCGAAAATACGAGGCAGATATTTATCATGCATGGAAGTACAACTACTGTCCGGATGCGTTTCCTGTCGTTAGCATTAATTTAATTTCAGATAAATTAGGAACATAGACAACGGTGTCGTTGAATTGATTACTGAAAAATTATTACAGTGTTGGAGCAATTGTTATCAGCAATGAAATATCAAGTATCATTTGAACGATGAATGAAAATAATTATAGCTATTATAACGTGGAAAAATAATAATTAAGTCACAGGCCATTGATAGAACACTTAATTTATTATTATTGGAATTAACATTTATTGAAATTACAGACTATCGGTTGAAGCTTTGGCAATAATAATATTTTGCATCATTAAGACAGAATTAAAGAAAAAGAAAATAAGAAAGTAATCTCAAATTTTTAAACGATAGTTACATACTTCGATAATTTATAAAACTAAAATTATTTTAAAATTATTATTGTAATTTAAATCAATGTGTAGTACAATATATGAATTGTAATTATTAATTTTACATTGAATTTATTATTAATTTGGAGTCTTTGCATACTTTAAATTAATTCAATCAAATTTTTAATTATATTTTTAATCATATTTGCATTATTAAATCATTATACAAGTTATTACATATAAAACTCAAATATGAACATAATATTAAAATTTACATGGTCGAATGTACCAAATGGCGCACCTTTGTAATTTGTTGAAATCCACTTGTTACAGGCAGAGTATACTCAAGTATATTTGGATGATTTATTGTATCATTAGATCACAAGATGAACATGATGATTGTACACTTCCTGCGAATAAGAATAAAAATGCATGCACATGCAACAATGATATTAAAAAAAAATTTGAATCACTCGACATACTGAATCTGTCATACAGAAGACTAACTTGTAAGAGCTGCTTTTGCTGACCAGTTCTGTGTATCGTGATGTCAGCGTGGCTAAAGAGAGGGGAACGATCAAGTGTCAAGCAAGCAGCACTCATAATGGTCTAGAGATGTCTGTTGCTCATTGTCAAACGTATTAATTGAACGTTCTAAATAAATATGTTGAAATATTTCTGAAAATTCAATATAATTATAATATAATAATCAGAAATTTAGAAAACAGAAATGATGTAAAAATTCGTTTTAGTTAATATAATTAATCTGAAACGAAAAATTATGATGCATCAAAAATAATGATTGTGATAAAACGATACGCCTAAAATTATTTGGAGAATGATACGATACAATAATATTCTTTTTAAATGATAGAAAAATAAAAGTATTATATAACTAAATGTATTATTTTAACAATATATATTACTAATCTACATCTAGTTTATCATTAATATGGAAAAATAAGACACTATTATTTAAGACACTAAAATTCTATAATTATAGAAAGAAATATATGTTTTTTTGTTTATAGAAGATTCTTATCACTAGGAGATAAAGAATATATTTACGTAAATCTTCGAAATCAAAGGACATAATAAAACAACCATTAATGATTATTAATATGGCAATGGTAAATCTACTTTCACTGTAATTAATAATTATATTATGTCAGTCTTCTTTGTATATATTAATAACTGAAGGCAAAAGTAGGTTTTACTTACACTTGTGAATATTGTCACTTAAAATGAGAACTTGAGTTCCTAATTTTAACCGATTTTTACCCTGAGATTACAGAGATCACAAGGCCAAAAAAGTCGGAGATGAAAATCAAGAATGTTGGGGTGCGTGGGTTGCGAAATCCAATATACATTCCCAATAAAGGAGCCAAGGAGATATCTTTTTACGTAAGTAGATGGCATCGGAAACGTTGCTTTCTAACGTGCAGCTTCAATAACATTTTTTTGCTTCTAATAATGCATTGCCAATAATATTCTTCGTTTTCAAAATGAAATTACATATTTTAATACTTACTTTGCTTCATCTTGTTCCTGTAATGTATCGAAAAATGTAGTAACTATTATATTACGATGAATATTCATATTTATGCGTTTGCTTTGTTTCCAAATAATTTTTTCCAATTTTAGTCATATTCATTTAGCCCAATCCTCATTCATTTACTTAATTTTGAAAATGTAGAAAAGGTGATCTAAAATATCTATATTCTTTTTTTAATGAGTTGAATATTTTTCTTCATTTAAATAAAAAAAAGAAAGGGATATTCAGTGTTCAGTGGCAAGGCTTGATTTTGAAAACGAGGAATCAAATTGGCATACTTGTAAAGGACAACCGCAGCGCTTGCGCATTTTAAACGTAGCAGAGATTTAAAGATGTGGTAGGGATGAACAAGCACATGTTGCGATAGCGCAATGTTTAATCTCCAGTCGCTCGTGAATTTATCTCAGGTGCAGGTGTTGCCACAACGTGTGTTCCTGCGTTTCTCCAAAATATCTTCCCGAAATCCGTGGTTGGACCAGTTAACTTGTTAGAGGTTCACGGCTTTCGTCGACAACAGATTACAACATTTTATCAAACAAAATCATCTCCCGCCTCGCGAAATCAAGGTAAACATTTAACCATTTGCTTTACACATTTATGATTGTGACTATAATTTAACATTTAAGACATTAGTCTCAATTTGTTAAACTGCGAATTATTTAATGCAAACTTTGTATAATGTTTCAATATTTAAATCGTTTTGCATAGTCAGTCACAGTGTTACAACGGTAAACATTGAACCTTTATTTAAATTTGTATTAAGCAAATCTTAACGATGAAAGTTTGATATTATTAAAATTGCTAACTACGATTCTTATTATCTTGTTACAAATCAAATTCTTATTATCAGGAAATTTTATATCGAAAAGTTGCTTGACACGTGAAATTTAATAAACGAAAAAAAAAAAGATTTAACAAACGAAATATTATTTAGATTTAATAACTAGTTACGTGTTGAAAATGATAAATAATTGTAATTAAAATTTATTAATTTGCAAGGAAAGAATTAATTTATTAATTAGAATTAATCAGTAGCCAGAATGTATGCTCTTCTAATAAAATTTATGAAGAGGAGATATTTTTCTCAATGAATTATACTTAAATATCTTCATTGATCGTGTAGCGTAAAGTCATAAACTAAGAAGTTTATGTCTTTACGCTACTAATACCACGGACTATAAAAACGTAACTTTCTTATGTTATGTTTATGTCGATGAAGAGTATTAAGGAATATTATATTTGAGTATTGAACATTATTAAAGAACATTATTCGAGTATTAAGGAATATTATTGCTCCAAAAAAAATTAAATAACATTTTACTTGTCATTTTTCTGTTAAATAATGCAATCTTTATCCAAAGGCAAAACGATTGTACACTTTTATCGAATGTTACACGTTATCTTTTATTTTTGTTATCTTTCTTTAATATGTACATAACACGTTATCTGACAAAAATTAATTCACTTGGTAATCGAGGGTAAATATAAAATGGAAAAAACTCGCCAAATATATTATATTCCTCGGTTGCCACAATACTAAATCTAGTAGGAGATCTCTACGATGAGTAACTCTGATTGTGAGTAATCGAGTGTGCTGTAAACAAATATTATGTCACCGCGATGTATTAATGAATTCGCCGACGATGACATTACAAAAGACATAAATGGCGATTTATGTCGTAGTGCCGGTTATTGTGTCGATAGGATCGGTGAATCACGCGTACAACGGAATCGGATTGTACAAATAATTCGCGGTAAATTGTAACACGTAAATCGTCACAGGTATGTATTTCGCAAGCGAGCGATCGTTGATCGAAAAGGCAAATAAAATAGTGATCGTTTGGCTAAAAATAAAGCACTGTGTAATAATGTAATAATGTTGCTGAATTTTTATCTTGATAAGAGGACAATTTCTACACGTCAAATGTAACGTTTGATTGTGTATCTGTAATGTTCATATAGGCTTTTTGACTAAAAACAGTCATTCATTCTTAAGTGTCTTTTAATTATTGAATTTGATTCTTTTTCTTTTTATTTATTCAGTCAAAATATTCATCGTCAGTTGCATCTTGCGTCATTGCATTTTGCATCTGACGGTCTTAAGTTATGTCATAATAAAAGTCACATAGAGTTGTTCACAAAAGTATTTGAGCACTTACAAAAATTTTTTATATATACAAGGTGGACCAAAAATCACTTCCTACTAAAATAAAAACGTAATTCTTTTTATTATACATTAACATTTTATTTTATTTTATTTTATTAACATTTGAAAGAAATAATTTTTAAGACACAATGAGAAAATCAATTTGTACGAATTTAATTTAAAATTAACAAGAGCTATTTCTCATATTTTGATGTTTTGTTAAAAAAAATAAATGGGAAGGAACTTTTGGTCCATTCTGAATAATATACATTATTATATTAACATGTATTATCATACAAACAATTTTGACACTTCATTATCATTTTATTGAGACTCAACTATCACGATCAAGTTTAAAAGAAAATCTGAAAGATATTATTGCAAGATATTTTATTGTAAATAAAATAAGATTCACACAGATAGATCTTTTGAATCAAAATCAAAACTGTGAACAGATTCTTCAAACTAAAGCTTAAAAAATATAATTTCAACGGAAGCTTGAAATATCGTGGACAAAAATGGTATCGTTTGGTCAACTTTATTCAATCTGCTTTCTCTGGCGTGTTAAACCGTTTCGAAACGTTGAGTCCTTTCATGATTCAAACAATGGTGAGCGATCTAATGAAACGCATGTATGTTCGTATGCAAATTGTTTGATTTGCATGTACATATAAATAAAAAGATTCGCGACATTTCATTGTTTGAATATGGAGATGAAAGTCACACAATAATAAAGTACAGTTAGGAAGAAAGAAATACTGTTATTTTGTGTGATTAAAAGAAGAAATTGCAAATAAGTTGAGCAAAAAAAAAAAATAAGATCTCAGTCTTTTACACTTTATTCGACGATTAAGGTATAAAATTTGTATCAGAGATATTAAAAAGTGCAAGTAATAGAAAAGAATTTATACTACAAACTATTTTTCACGAAAAATTATTCAAATCAAAATCATTCGATACAAACGCATAAAATTTTTATAAAGAAATAGAGAACCGGTCATTTGAACTACTTTTCAAATTTTATTTATAAAATGTGTAGAGTAAAAATTTACTTAAAGGTAGTGAAATTTAAATATAAATATGCTGAATATTAAAATCAAACATCCGAACTATACTCTAATTATACCTATTGAAATATAATTTTCATTTCGGAAAGAACTGCTACGCATAGACTTGAGAGAAACTGGGTTCAAAATATAAAATAAAAAAGAACATTAAAATTTAAGTTCATTCATACGAATTATGATTCATCTCGCAGATGATTTAATTTAAAAATTGTTATTAAGCGAGAACAAAGTTAGGTGTCAAAAGAACTATGGTTTAATAGGTAAAATAGAAAGTAAATCATTTCAGGTGAAATAGTTATTTCAGACAAAATTATAGGTAAAATAGAAAATGAATTAATAAAAAACGATTTTAATTTAGATGACAAATTTAATTTGTTCACTTTCACTTTTTTTTTTTAAGCGAAATTTTCAATATTCTGTATTTTATAGCATTCCATATTTAGTTAAGTACCCTGGTATATGCGATTGACCAACAGTTTCTCGTCTTTACCATATTGGGCAAGTTTGATTAAATAATCGATTCTCGATAATCATGAAAATGTCTCGTATAATTTTCAAGACGTAACTCGGTCACATGGCTTTTTACCTTTTCTTTTTTTTTTTTGCCTTCGTCGCATAAGTAGCGACTTATTTTTAATCTATCTCGATCCTTGCTAACTAATGCTTTGTGCATTTTTGAAACGAGAAATCGTAAATTTAATATTATATAATATTCACTACATTCCTATACATCAATGGTTACGTTGTTATTTTCTTTTTCTTTTTTTATCATTTTTATTTCTCAAAAATGTAGACAGATATATCTTCTGTTGTTTGTTTCTTTCGATGATTTTACAAAGAATATATCTACATTGCTAATCGTAAATTTTATAAATCTTTAATTACTTTATTTTACACCCACGTATGAAAGAGATCAAACTCACAATATAATGCAACATATAAATAATAAATAAAACAAAAATAATAAAGCAATAATATGCATATATAAATAGCATATGAATTTACATGATATGTAAAGTAAGTAATAAATTGAAAACAAAATATCCCTGAATCGAAAGAAACGCCTTTATTAATCATATTGGTCGTAATATCAATATTACATCGATTTCTCAAAAAAAAAAAAAAAAAAAAAACGTCTAAAAATTGATTTTATACTTTGGACGCGAATATCTATATACTATGTACGTATGTAGAAATAAATCATGCAAATTTCCATAATCCGGATCAACTGGAAGATCGTACCACTTGCAATTATTAGAATGTCGTTGGCATACGTATATGGAGCAACAAAGTACAATAAGTGGGTCATGACTCATCCATTTGACCCGCATTTGTTTGTCTTGTTTGAACGCTATACAATTTGTGATATTCAGGCTTTATTTAGTCCAATGTCGAATGGTGGGCGATTCTGGATACCCACCATGGACATACTCTTATATGGTTGCGTGTGAGTCGTTTTCTTTCGTGGCCCGTCTCTCGAGGTCGTGTCCATTGCACAATTCCAAAGACATATCCCTTTGGTTATTTCACGGCGAAAAAAAGTATAACTCTTCGCAATAGCTTTTTATCTAACGTTACTGTATCAATTGCTTTTCCTAAAGTGAATATCAATGATTTTAATTCTATTAAATTCCTCAGGTTTTGTGTCTTTCACTTTGCACGATATCGTTCCTCTTTTTCTTCCTTTTTTTTTCTTTTTTCTTTCATCGATAGATATTTTAGACACTTTTTAAATTAATGTGGTACAAAATACAATTCAAACGAATTAATTTGATCTTAACACATGCAGTTGATAGATATTGATGAAAAGAATAGATATTATAATAATTGAAGACACCGTCGAGCGACGATTTCAATATGTCTTCATTGTTGAAATTTTAGAACGACTAAAATATGAGTCTCTAACCACATTGAAAATGTTTATATAAATTTTATGAGGTATCAGCTGTTTAATAGAAACGAATGTGTAGAAAATTAATAGTACATCAGAAAGGAGAACGTTGGTCAATCGTAACTGTTTAATGAAACTGCACTAACAAATGTCAAATTATTTACTATATGATAGTATGTGTATCATTTGTAATATGTATGTAAAAATATGCTATTTTTGATAAATTTTAGTCTAAGACAAATGATTATAATCATGCATAAGCCAACGTTGAGTATTACTTTTAATAGTTGTTCTTTTTTTTTATTGTTAGGGAAAAATAAAAGTGCATCATCGAGAATATGGGTGGTATGACACAGAGGCCGTGGACACCAACGAAGAGACGAGGTCCCATCGCTGCTGAGTATAGTAGCCCTGGTCCTGCTTGTGTAACATTACCGCCATTAATCGGTAATCTTAGTTTTTTCTCTTCTCTTATTAAAATTCACAAAAAGTTGTAAATATCGAATCGAATTTACAGGAAAAACCGTTCCCGACTCGAAACGAGGCAGAGCGCCTGCTTTTTCGTTTGGAAGCAGGTACGCAAGTTTAGTTACTGAACGACTTAGTTCTGAAGTCATTGATTTTTAAAATTTATTCGTAGGAAGATGATAATGGGTTCGTTCAAATATAGAAGATTTAGAATTACAATTACAAAATAAATATACGTTAATGATAATACAGGGTAAAGTATTACAAGCCTGTTTTTTTCTGAAATTATTACAGATGTAGATTTGAAATTTGGATGCGTTTAATGATTCAGAGGCACTAAAAAAAATTTAGGATATAAAAAATTTTTGAGTAATCCTTAATTGTTTTAAATGGAACGGTAATAGAGTTATTAATTTTTCGACGTCTGTAACGACTTTTATTTTAAGAAATTAATATTATATTATATTATAATAATATTAAAAAGTTGTAAAATATTGGCTTAAAATAATATCCTAAAATATTAGCCCCTCCGAATCATTTAACGTGGCCTTTCAAGTTACAATAATTTCAAAGAACAGCTTATTGGACAATGGTTTACATAAGTCAACCTATAGTAATAATATTTTTACATATATTTTTTTCTCCAATTGCTGTGTATCATAAGTTAAAATATAACAGAAAAATCTGATATAAAAATAGTTAACATCTATTTAATCTAATATAGAAATAAGTTACAATATAAAAAAGAAAAATGAAAGAAAAATCTAATATAAAAACTTGCTTTGAAAAATTTACTAAAAAAAGAAATATATTATATTATTGAATCAGGTTTGAGCCGGTCACCGCTCATACGTGCGAATATAAAACTATCAATCTAAGACTGGAATGATTAATTTTATTGAAATAACATAATTGTTTTCCCATTGTTTTAGACATGCGACGAAAAATGACAGCCCTGGACCGGGTCCTGGTCAATACAACGTGTCTGGGCTTAGTGCCAAAGGTAATATAATCTACTTATTATTTTTCTACTACCATCCAATTGCTTATTGCCGAACCTAATATTATGCATATATTTTTAATTTATTTATTTATGAATTCATCATTATCTATTTTTAATTATCTATTAAAATATATATATATCATAAACATATATATTATTTATATATATATTTTAATATATTATAAATATATTAAAATATATATATATCATAAATTTCTTGTACATAAAGGATTAACATGCTAGCATAAATTAAAAGGAGGGTTCAGGTTATTGATTCATACCGAACAGAAATTAAAGTTATAAAGAGAAATTCAGTCGAGCTGGTAATAGTGTGCAAGCACGAAACGAATTCTATGGGCAGTGGTATTTCGTGTTCTAATGAAGTATCGATCAAACTTTACACCAGTGATATTCTACAAGAATGCAACGTGCGTTATTCACGAAATTCCATTACTTGTCTACTAATAACACTATCTCTTTAAGACTATTTTCTACATAATATGCAGAATATTAATATTATTATAATTCCTACAAATTAAAAATTATGTATATATAAATTTTATAATATTTTATAGTAATATGTAGTAGTATAATATTTTTTATATAATAATAACATTATTGTATTAATATATTTATAATTATTATTACAATAATATTACTAACAATGCTATTAAAATTTATTAGTAATAATTTCTATTTAATTATGGATTAAATGAAATTAATTAAAAACAATTAATAGTTTTAAAAAACAAATTTCTAAACCAATTACACTTTCTTTTTAAATTAAATTAGTCTTCTAAATTTATTATTTCTTAATTAAACTTTTCGTTTGCGTTTATGTTGATAATAAAGCTTGTTCAATTGTGTATTATATGTAATATATTCGTGCAGGAAAAGATGCTGCACCAGCATCATCGTTGCACGGCCGCACAAAATCCACGAAACAGGAAGTGACACCAGCTCCTGGCGACTATAATCCGGAGAAGGCCGAGAAGATTATTCTGGATAGCTCGCCGAAATACTCGTTCGGTATCAAAACGCAGACCGAGAAAATCAGTTGTACACCTGGTGAGTATATTATATATAGATATTATTATTACATTAAGTACACATATATATTAATATCCTGTGAAGAAATTTTCTTCCATAAATCATTCGACATTTAGATTAATCTTGTTTGTGTAACATTATTTTTAAATATCTTCATTGAGAATATGTCTATGATAAGTGTCGACCTAAAAATCCTATCTTAATCGCAGCACCGAATGACTATTGCACCGAAAAGGTGACTCTTGACAAAACCCCCGAGTATAGTTTTGGGTTGAAACATGCACTGGATAAATCGAGCGATATACCTGGTAATTAAATCAAAACAATAAATCTATATGCATCCATGCGACTCTATATCTTTTATAGACGCTAATTAAATAATGACTAATATAATTAATCAATTTTTTACACACTGAAGAAAAGGAAATTTAATTTCGATTGTTCTACAGATTTAACAAACAGGTATACAGAATACTCGAGAATGTGCAAACGTTGTTCAGAAGACAACAGAAGATGATGAAAAGAATATATTTTTTATCTGATAAATATAGTATATACATCTAATCTTATTTTATTTTTTTGAAATTTTGATCGCCTGTTAATAGACATATATTCAGACAAGTTTAATTTTAATTGTAATGATATATGCAATATAATAATATAATAATTGAGTATAATTGTTAGTTTATTCTTTATTTTAATAATTAGAGTTGAAAATTTTCGGACAGATTAAATTAAACAAAACATATTCTACTCATCATTTCTTATTATTCTTCACATGATTTACCTACATTCTCGAAACACTCTGTACATTTCTCTTGGTGTGATTTAATCAAATCAAATTGGTTTTATGGTAGTTAACTAGGTTTAAAGGTACTCTTTTTCTAGATTCACTCTATCTACTAATAATTCTGCAAATAGTTTCGTTACAATAATTCAAACGATGTCCAAGTAAAAAATTAAAATGTATTAACAAAAAGTACGTTCGTTTTGCGAGGAGAACAATTCCTTAGAAAGAATCGATGTGCTGAATAACCAACTATTCATTGGTTGATATAATAACCATTCCGATCGCCTAAAATGAAGAATTCTGCGAAAGTGCAGATGTAAACTCGAGGGATAAGCGGTGTTCGATGTTTAGGTACTACATTTTTACCATTTTTTTTCTTTATACGACGAAAATATTCTGTCCAGCTTTTTTATTTTACTTTTGGAACTGTAGCTTAATCTTTCATCCTTCGCAAGCATGTACATTAGTGCGAATGAAAATGGCTTACGATGTATTCAGTAATTAAACTGCATGCGTAGCAATTTTTGCATTCGTGATATCTATACAATCTTACAAAATTATAAAATTAAAGGGAAAAATTCGTTGATTTAAATAATTTTGCAAGTATTGTTCCTTTTGTAATGTAAATTTTTCTCCTCTCGTTATATCATATATTGTTATAACGCAATTATTATGTATCATTTTTTTTTTTATTACTTTATTTCGTTGTTATTTATTTCGCTGCAAGATGAGTATTGATAATAATATCAATTGATCATAATATCATAATTGAATTAAAATACGTTGGTTTTACTCGTATGGAAATTAATAATTATTTGTGTATTATGATATCAGCACCTGGTACTTACTGCCCAGAAAAGGTAAGACTGGACAATGCACCGCAGTTCAGTTTCGGACTCAGGCCTCCTCTCGAGAAACCGAGCGACACCCCAGGTATTTATCGAATGCTTGAAACACGCGGATAAAAATTTTGTCGACCGGATTTATTTATATCATTGGTTTGTAGAAGCATCCCTTAAACTAATCGTTGAAGTTTGATAACTTTATTGTAAACTTATGAAACAAGGCAAGTAAATTCCGTTTCTGTCCTTAATCTTGTGAAAATTGGACTTTCAATGCTCTGTGAGGAATTAAGAGTAGAATGTAAAACTTTATTGTAAAGAAACGAAGTGGAAGGATAATAATTATAATCATATGATTTAAAAGAGAGCCACATTTCTTTCATGCTAGTTAATGTGCTAAAGATATAAGCTAATGATAAGGTAATCATAATAATTGAGTACCATTATTCATTTACGATGTAAAACTCGACACTTATTTTCGATAACAAAACAAAACAAAATATACGATAAAATAAATACTTGCTATTTCTATAATAAACTCATTTTTGGTAATATTCGATTTGAGGAGCTCAAATGTACGTTTGTTCGGTCAACAAAATAACAAAATGCAAACTTATTATTACAGATAAGTTACTTTATCTGTAATAATATATAACGTATATTATTTATAAACTACAGTATCACCGGCACGTGTCAACTTACTTTTATAGCACCTGGCACGTATAGCCCTGAAAAAGTTAATCTGGATAAGGGTCCTCAATACAGTTTCACGGGAAAGGGTCACGTAGAGAAACCTGATGACACTCCTGGTATGTGAATTTATCATACATAGTCGAAGTAATTCTTTGATAATAAATAAATTAATTTTGATTCAAAAAATATTTATATATGAAAAATGATTCTTAGCGCCAGGTACGTATTACCCAGAAAAAGTAAAATTGGATGCAACGCCGCAATTTACTTTTGGATTGAGGACACCAATCGAAAAAATAAACGACACACCAGGTAATTGCACGAAAATATAATTATTTATCACATTTGTTATATCACGTGTGTCTTCACATTACAGCCCCTGGTACTTACAGTCCTGAAAAAGTTAATTTGAATAAAAGTCCCCAATATAGTTTAAGCGGAAAACTTTCTTATGACAAAGTAGACAATACTCCAGGTCTGTAGATATTAGCTTGAAATTTCTATATATGCATTTCGTGTTTCGTATAAACTTTTTATCGAAAATTAAAAATTTTATTAAATTAAAGAACATTGGAAAGAATAAATTGCAATTCTTTTTTAAATTAGTTTTATCATCTATTTCATGAAAAATTTCCTATTGAGTGAGAAAATCTTTTTGCGTAAGTGATGAAAAAAATCAATTTTTAGCACCAGGAACTTATGCACCTGAGAAAGTAAATCTTGATAAAGCACCAGAGTATAGTTTTGGGATAAGAACACCTCTTGATAAACCAGACACTACTCCAGGTATAATTTATAATCATTTTATTATTTTTGTTATTTATTATCATTTTAAAAAAAATTATTATTATTCTATAGCACCTGGAGATTATTGTCCAGAAAAGATAAACTTGAATAAAGGTCCAGAATATAGTTTAACTGGTAAAGGACTTTCTGAGAAACAAATCGATACACCTGGTCAGTATAATCAGTTTTCTTCTTATCTTATATTTGCTTAGCTTTATTATTTTATTATCCAATTAATAACATTTTATTTAACGTTAAATTCTTATCAAATAATTTATAATTTATAAATATTTCTTTCTATCATAGCACCTGGAACATACAGTCCTGAAAAAGTAAATTTAAGCAAAGGTCCACAATATAGTTTGTATGGAAAGGGAATTCCAGAGAAACCAAACGATAATCCAGGTTAACTTTTTAAACTTTTTTATTAGATTGTAAACTGAATTTCAGTACTTTGACGCAGAATTCGAACTTGAAATTTAGTTTGCAATTTAATAGATTTTCTTGGTACTTTGATTTATTATTTAATTTATTATTCTTTTAGATTAATGTCTTCTTGTATTTAATTTTTTCAATAGCACCAGGAACATATAGTCCTGAGAAAGTAAATTTGGACAAAGGTCCTCAGTTCAGTTTATCTGGTAAAGGGTTGCCAGAAAAGCCTAATGACAATCCAGGTGATTAAAGTAAAAAAATCAATTCTCCTAGTTTTTTTATATAAAGCATAAAAAAAATATTAGCAATGAATTAATCCTAAAACAATTATAGTAAAAAGATTTAGATATTTTATTTATTATCACAGCACCTGGAACATACAGTCCTGAGAAAATCAATTTAGATAAAGGGCCCCAATATAGCTTATCAGGAAAAGCTTCATCAGAAAAATCCAACGATTACCCAGGTGAATTTTGTTCAATGCAAATTCCAGGAGCTTCTTATTTTGGAAATTTAATTGGTTTAGGTTTTAACATTCTGTAGAAACAATCACTAATGTTTTGATTGCTTTAGTAGGCCCTGCTGATTACTATCCAGAGAAAGTAGTAAATTTGGAACATAAACCTTATTTCAGTTTTGGTAATAGAAAGACCTTGGATAAGCCTAGGGATACACCAGGTAATGGTGTTGATTAACAAATAATCAATGAATTACTGCAAAGCCTAACATTTTAAAATAGTTTTTGAATGAAAAATTGTTCATGCTTCTAATATTATAATTTTTAATCCAAAGCATGCTAAATCTTTTGTTTCTATTCTATTAAAGTTCTTCTTTTTTTTTTATCTTGCTTGTAGCTTTATAATTGCTTCATAATTTTATTTTAATACTTTGTTTTTAAAGCTGTTAGCGATTTATGAATTATATCATTTTAAATTTTACATTGTAAATAAACTTATCAACGAAATTTTTAATTGTAAAATTACTGAAATTGTTTTTTCGATTGAATATGTGTTGTAATATTGTGCTACACGTTGCTATAAACGGATATCTTTTTATTTCATTTTTTTTTCTTTTATGAATGCATTAGTATTATTCTTTTCTCTTCTTTGTTTGATTTATAGCTCCTGGCACTTATTCTCCAGAAAAAGTAAATTTAAATAAATCACCATGTTACTCATTTGGTTTAAAAACATCTTACGAGAAAACTAGCGATATACCTGGTAAGCAATATTCGCGAATAAAAAACGTAAAATTTATAAAATTCTCGTGGTAAAAGTCATTTACTTTGATACATTAAAAATCTAGCTCCAGGAAGTTACCACCCGGAAAAGGTAAATTTGAACAAATCACCCCAATATAGTTTTGGAGTTAAGACTGAAGTACATGAAACTGATTCAATACCGGGTATGGTAATCTTTTAAAATGTATTATATATTGTACGCTTTGTGTACTTGTTGAATAGATTTAATATTTGCTTTAAAGGTCCAGGTGAATACAGTCCAGAGAAAGCTATGCTTTTATTGGAAAAAGCATTGCAATTTACTTTTGGTCTTAGAACAAGTACAAATAGACCAAATGATATCCCAGGTAAATTTGCAGGATTTGTTTCCTAGCTCTGATAATTTATCTTTAAAATAATATTTATTACTTCTGAATGCCATATCGTCTTTTATACATGCGTAATATTACATTGACAATATCTACAAAAGGTTTATTATTATTATTTTTAATCTTTACATCAGTAAAGTTGCTTTTATTTTTGCTTTGTTTCAGCTCCAAACATTTATAATATTCCTTCTGCTCTCGGTGGAACAAAGGAAGGAAACAAAAAGACAGCACCGGCTTACTCAATCTCGGCTAGACAGAAAGTTTCTACGGATGATCGCGTTTTAGTTCCTGGCCCCGGGACATACGAAACTGTTAAACCAGATGCAGTCAGAGTGAAAAGTCCTGCTTATAGCATAAGTGCTCGCTATCAGCTGCCCGATGATCACTCTCAGATTCCAGGACCTGGAGCTCATTGTCCAGAAAAAGTATTTTTAATTTCTTCCTATTGTATTCAAAATCTAAAAAGCTCAGAGATCTCTGAATTTGTTTAGTAGACTTTGTTTCATTAAATTGTATAATTATTTTTGAAGGTATACAAGAACCAGATATTACAGGTACAGATATCTGATGCTCGCGTCAGATACAAATGTCATAAGTTAATTTCAATTAAGAATATTGGTATTTTTAGAAGTTTAGAATAAGTTTCCTATTATGAATTATTTCTTTTTATATTTGTATGTTAATGCGAACATCGCTGACAAAATTTACATCTTACATCAATTTATCATAAAGAGATTTTTAACGCGATTTAAAAAAAAAAAAAAGAAAGGTCAAATAGGCGAAAAAAAGCAAATATTTCAGATACTTTAAAAATTCAAAATAAATAGAATACAATTTCGGCGATTTCTATGCAGCTGGATACTTAAGAATACCGATATTCTTACATTGGTAAATATTCTTATGGAATCTTAACTCGATTTCAAAAAACGTTCCCCGCTGAAATAGATATTAATCTTTTTATTAACTTTTTATGGAACATCTGTGTACAATGGCAAAACTACCTTTTACAGGTAGTTCTTGACATTCCTCCAGCACATTCATTTGGCATTAGACACTCGCCATATATATGCAACCTGAAGGACGTCGTTTATTAACATAAGAGCCTTACGTGACTCCGCTTTCGTCGTCATTTTACCTTGTGAGAGTAAACCACATGCGATTGTGAAATACTAATTTTTAAATTAAGAAACGAAATTAATAATCTTTTAATTAAGTTAAGAAAGTCAACGCTTTGCTACAATGATTGCAAAATATTGTTTAATGTGTAATTAAAATAAATTGGTGCTACTAATCGTATTTAACATATTTACATATACCACAAATTGTGATAATGACATATACATGAATAATGATAATATTAATTAGATGAGGTTTTTCGTAAAATTGACATCAAATAAAATGATAACAATTTCTTCTTTTTATTTCTTTTCTCACGTCTGCTATATTTAATTTTAAAAATTTGACAAAAAGATATTCGAGAAATTAAAGCTATTTTTTAATGCTGTACAATTTAATTTTAAAGAACAATTAAGAAAATTTTATGATAAATAATATAAAACACGAATTAGAAATAACAATTTATTTGTTCATATTCTGTTTGACATTAAAATATCTTGTATTTGAGTTGTATTTTTTAATGAAATACATATATATTTTATTGTACTAACTATTAAAAATAACTGGCCTTGTTATTAATTTAAAAACAATAATTATAGTTTGCTCTTGTAATATTTCACATTTTCATGCATATTTCTATTATTTGAAAAAAGTAAATAAAAATTAATTTTTGTTTTTATATATATCAAAATATGCGTTCATAAAAATTCTTGTATACAAAATATATACATACATATCTTACAATATGAATACATTAATGAATAAAAATATAGCTGGAATGATATTCACAGCCATCGCATATTATATAAGAAAAATGTAGTATTTAAATGTAGTATAAAGTACGTTTGTAAAATTAATATAGCTTTACGGATAAACCACACTTTTCCCTAATTATTTTGTAAAATTAATTCCACTATCCACTATAGTATACTTTACTGACAATGCTCATTGCATTTGTAATTGCAGTGTACACATTCTCCCGATATCCATGTTGACAATAGTTCTAAATCGTTATTTAACATTACTATATCAGCATCAGCTCCATAATTTAAGACTCCTTTAGTTTTTTCAATACCTAGAGTTGTTGCTGGATGGAGAGTTGCAGCTTCTAAAGCTTCTACTATAGAACATCCTATAGAAAAATATATAGTTAAATAATTTAAATAATGAGCAATAATGGTAAATAATAATAGAACTTCTCAAGATATTATATTATAGAATAAAAAAATGTTGCTTTTGTAACTACCTGTTACTTCTTTGAAATGACGGACACACTTCGACATTTCTGCTGTACTGCCACACAATGTATTTGTTCCAGCAATATATGCACGTCCTGAGCGCATTTCGATTTTAAGCTGTCCTAATTGATATACACCTTCTTGTAATCCTAGCGCTGATAGTGCGTCAGTAACTAAAACAAGGCCTAAAATGTAAAATTAAATAGTAATTCAGAAACACATTAGGGAAATGATCTTTATTTTATTATAATATAAGAAAAAGATATATGACCTTTAGGGTGAGTTCTATGAGCTATACGCAATGCTGCTGGATGAGTATGAATTCCATCTGCAATTATACCATAATGGATAGTTTTTCCAGGATGAACTTGATCAGATGTCAAAAGACCAACTAATCCTGGATCTCTATGGTGAAACTAGAAATTCAAATTTATCATTGATCATGTACAATTTTATACATTTCATAAAATAAAAGACAAGTTGTATATTTTGTGATTACTGGTAACATTGCATTAAAAAGATGAGTAATGAAAGATGCTCCACTCTTCACAGCTTCTTCACCTTCTTTCAGATTTGCAACAGAGTGTCCTAAAATATTTAAACTTAGGAGAGACAAATTAGTAAAACTGAAATAATAGTTATATCTTACCAAGAGAAACTGTAATATTTCTCTTGCACAATTCTGTAATCACGGATTGAGCATTAGGAAGTTCAGGTGCCAATGTTACAAGACACACATTTTCTAGACTTCCATACATGTCAGTTAATGACTTGAAACCCTGAAATACATAAATTTAACTAGATAATTAAGAATATTAGAAGAATACACAAGGTAATTAATACATAAAGTATAAAAAAGTATAAAGTTTAAAGTATAACAAAATTAAAATTTGCTTTATATTAACATAAATGTCAAATATATGCATTGAAATATACTTACTTTTTCAAATTGTTTTATATAATTCTCTGAATGAGCTCCCTTTTTACTTGAGCTAATAAAAGGTCCTTCTAAATGAACTCCTAATACAGCTGCACCGTGTCTTCCACCTTTTGTCTTCTTAATGTTTGGTAATATTTTATGATATGTTTCACTGGGCGACGTAACCAGAGTTGGACAAAATGATGTTACACCAAATTCTAGCAATCTTTTGGCTACTTTATTAATTCCTTCCTGTACATTGTTAATATTATGTGTAAAATCTATTCCAAAACCACCTAATAAGTAAAATAACACTTACAAATTGTAATTACTTATAATTATGTTACAACATTTTTATAGAAAATTAATCATTTATTACATATTAATATTAACATTAACACTGTACAGATATCCTATTGCATAAATATGAAATGAAGAATATTTTATATTAATAGTTTTTTGTTTAATGTTAAATTTTATATTTTAAAGTAATTTTATATTAAATTTTATTTTAAAATGAAATAATATAAAATAAAGTATATGTAATGTAAACCAGCATTATAATAAATGACAAAAATTGTTATTTATTATACTTGTGTTATGTACCATTAATTTGAAGATCTATATATCCAGGAGAAATTAATGCTCCGTTGCAATCGATTCTTACATGCGGTTTAATTTTTTCATCGTAAAAAATTTTTTCTGGATCAACAATCTTCCCATCGCGAACCCATAAATCCTCGTTTAAAATCTTTCCATTGCGTAAAACCCAACAATTGTAAAATTGTTTTAAAATTTGTTGATCTTCTCGAGACATGTTTTCTTAGGTAAAAAATTCTTGCACGTCAAAATATACGAAAGTATTTTCGTTCAGAAAAAAAGAAAAAAAAAATGCTTATCAATGTACTTTAGTTACTGCATTATCAGTCACGAGAAAAATTGTCACATTATAAAACTACAGATTTATAAAGTAGCAATGACCTGTCATTTTAATTGTCATAATTCTTCAAAGATGTCACTAAATGTAACTATAACGCATTATTCTGCAATTTAAAAAGAATGAAAAGAAATGCTATGCAATAAATAGCTTTTACAAGTAAATTTTATTAAAAAAAGTAATTTTAAAAATGAAAATAGTATATTTTAAAAATGATTTATAGCAATCCATACAATAGTATACAACAAAATATAATTAAAAAAAATTGTAATGATCTTTTATCATTTTTTGTCTCTAATGTAGAAGGAAATAGATCTAATAGGATTATAAAAAATTTCTTAAATTACTACTACTTACCTGATCAAGAATTTATTTAACTTATTCGTTGTGCACAACGCAGTCTTGTACGAAATTTTTATAAAACTTATCATAAAGGTAACACATATGGTTGGTTTTGAAATACAATATAATTCAAGTTTATAACAAATTGGAATGAAAACAACTTAGGATAAAACTGTATAAAAAAGGTGTGAAATAAATTCTAAGAAACGTACAGAAAAAGAACAATCTTTAAAAAAAGAAACAGGACAGGAAAATGGCACTACACAGAAGTTGTCATACGGAAGAAGAAATAAAGCGTTGTCTGTTGTTTGCATTTTTTTTTCAATTTTTGTATTAAAAATGCTTTAACAGTACCCAAAAATTTCTTCATAGATCAACGTGCGTTTTGAAAAAAATTCAACTAACTTTGTTTGTATATAAACGTAACAATAGTATAAAATGAAGCAATTAAAAAAGACAATGATTACGTAGAGCTGAGAGGGCAATTCGTTTATACTTATATGATATTAAATTTTAGGCTGTTAAGGAGCCGTTATTTTCTATTCATCGTCAACGTCAGATAAAAGGAGGGTACGCATAATTTTTTTTGTCACCGGTATGTCGAAGAATCTAGGCTTGATCTGGAATAGGAGATATGATATGATATTAGATGATTCATACGAAGAGGATTATGTTGGAGCCACAGGTGCAGAGGATATCTAGGCAGTTATCGGTCAGGTCTGCTTTGTATGTGTATGTGTATGTGTGTGTTAGTGTATCTGTGAGTGTACACGCACGAACAATTTCTTTTTAGCAAAATTTGTGTGTAATTCTACTGTTGTTTACAGTCATTAGGATCAGTTCCCTGTTGTTTCCCACCTGGTGGTGCATTATTTGGAGAAGATTCCTCATCATCTTCGTCTTCCTCATCAGGGTCATCCTCGTCACCCTCTTCTTCCTCGTAGTCTTCGTCTTCGTCTTCTAAGCCTTCTCCTAAGATATCGTTTTTTTTGTTCATTATTAATTGTACTAATTTAAATGATTCGAGGAATTTAAATAAAACCGGAAACAACTTTGTTAAAAAAACAAAAAAATATATCAAAATCGCCAAAATATTAAAATATTTAATTTGTTAAATACCTGTATAATACAGTACAGCTCTAGGAACTATACGCTCTCTTATATAATGGCCAATTTCAAAGTCACTGGTTAATAAAGCTTGAGTATCATCATCTAATTCTGCTTCAGAATCTTCTGGCACTGGAGAAAAAGGTTTTACATTAACATGTTATTTTTAATATTGAAGTAAATTATAGTTTATATAAAAATATAGTTTTGCTTACCAACTGGTGGATTGAAAAAGTTAAAGAACGAGTCGTTCTGGACAGTTTTCGTTACAGTTCGTATGGACCCTCGAGATTTATGTTTTTGATTTTTCTTTACAGTTTTTACTGTAACATTCTTTCCTTTTTTCCAATTAATTACACAACCCTGTACAAATTGTTAAAATGAATATTTTGTACATTGAGCAATTTTTTTTTTTTCATACAGAAACAAAGATAATAAATTTAAATTAAAAATATTTACCTTACATTTGTATATTTCGGGTCCTTCGAAACTAAATGGATCATTTTTCTCAGGGGTACATTTCATTATATATTCTTTTGTTAAAACTGAATTAGAAAAGTATTCATTTTGCTCAAAATGGAATTCAAGAACAAAGCCCTAGAAAAAATCTTGTTATCTTTAATACAATTCTTTCTATTTCTATTAGTTTCACATTTTTAATTATATGTATATAGAATATTTTTGAAATTGAATGATATATACACATATATAAAATAGATTTACTTTGTACAGGCTGCTCCATTTAATCTATAAATACTATGGGTGTGCGAGAACCCGATGGTCGGCACGAGTCGGGTTGGGTCGGATCGGGTTCCCGAAGGAATCGGGTTTCCCGAAAAAGTCGAGATTCCCGAAAATTTCGAGAACCCGGCTATCATTTCTCGAACTACTCTACAATGCTGTATAGCAACCTACAAAATATGTAAATACACAGTTCAATTTCTTCCGCCAGTGAAGTTATTGGAAACACGGATTCTAAGAATCGTGTGACCTGTTGTAAACGAATGTGTGACTGCGTGCTTAGTACTTGGACATTATGTACGTTGTTGAGCAGTATCGCTGAGAAATTCGGGCAGTTCAGACGTATATTTCAAAATCTGTGTGAATTTAATAAAGATTAAAAATCTTTAAAAAAAAATTCGAATGATAGTGAGAGTAAAATTGTGGCAGGAAGTAGTGCAGAAGATATCGTGCAAAGAAAAAAGGTAAAGAGAAGCTTTGTTTGGGAACATTTTCAAAAAAAAGATGATATAAAGGCGGAATGCACACATTGTCGCCATGAATTTAAAACTAAGTATGCAAATACTACTGGTTTATTATGCCATTTAAAGTATATGCATATGCACATAATGTATGTTTACTAGAAAATAAACTGAATCGATATAAAATTTGTCGCATGTACAAATACGCGAAAGATTGTTAAAGCAAAAGATATAATAGAAGGAATTGCTCGAATGATGGTTCTAGATCTGCGACCTTTCGATACAATTGAAGGCGTGGGCTTTAACCAATTATTTAAGCTTATTCCCAATCCTTTCCCAAATCTCAACTCTTTCGGGAATCCCGATTCTTTCGAGAATCCTGATAAATTCGAGAATCTCGAAATTTTCGGGTTTCCGTCCTGATCCAGAAAAAATTTCATGTTCCCGACCCGACCCGATATTTCGAGTTCTTGCACACCTCTAATAAATACAGTTATCTTGATAAATGTATTAATCGAAAAATGTTTCAAATGCAATTTATTCCGAGCATCCTGTATATATTATGTTTTATAGTTTAGTAACTTTTTTCATTTCCAACTTACCATTGGATTAGATTCAAGAAATATTACTTTAATATCATACAAATGTTTAAGTATTGGTTCATCATGTTCCTGAACCATATCAGCTAATGTTTCAACGTTCTTAAATATTGTCAACCAGAAATCTGGGATGCCCTTAATATCTTCATTTTCACTCCTAAAATAATTAAAATTCATTAGCATTCATAGTATTATAATATCTATGAAAAATAATGTAAAAGAAAACAATAACTTTTAAGAATATATTTAATAAAAATAAATCACAACAATCATACTCTTCTTTTTTTTGCTCTTTATCATCTTCGAGATTCACTTTTGTTTTTAAATCGTTAGTTAATGCTTCTTCTTCATCGTCACTTTCCCATACGCATTGCTCATCTGTTGGTTCATAGATACCCGATACTATGTCGCTTCTTTTTTCATAAAGAGGAGCACACATTTTGTAATAAGCACATTCCAATGCATGTACCTCCTCATAGAATTTTGCTTCAATATTAGTTGTAACTAATTGCAACTGTTTCAAAGCTTTAATTCTGCGTTTCACAGGAGCTGGAAGATTCTGCATTTGCTACAAAAATTGGAAATTTCTTTTAAATATTATGTTTTTAACAAAATAATACCAAAAATATGATGAATATTGTTTAATAGTAAATTTTTTTTTAATCTTACAGAACGAAATAAATATACGTGTTATATATCATAAATAACATTAATAAAAATATATAATATTAATAAAAATAAACAAAATTTAAATTTATTAAGATGTGAAATATAAAAAACTCGAAAATATTAATATATTTATATATTTTGAACAATTAATCAAAATGTTCTTTTACAATTTAAATTAATGTGTAGATAATTGAAGAAATATCACAGTCTAATCTACTGCAGTGCATAATTTATGAACTACACTAACAACTGATTAAACAAGCAACAAATTCAATAGTACATGTGAACAGGAGTTATTTCAGACAAAACAAGAAAAAGAAACAAATGAATTTTCATATATAAAGGAATAAAATTATATGGATTAAATCGGGCAAATGATATTAGAGGGCAATAAAATTTTTTTTTATTCAATTGATTCAAATTTAAAGAAATATGTACAATTATATATAAAAATATATAATTAACAAATATATAAGTAACAATTATATATAAAAATATTAAAATGAATTTGCAATATAAGATACAATATAACATTTACTTTTTTTTTAAATAGACTAATAAAAGGCCATATTTTTCACATTTAATAGAAAGAAATTTCCTATTTTTTTTTTCAAATCAACATGAGCTATCTTTTTAATATGGTTTATGCAAATTGTTTCATATAACAATATTAAAACACTAATATCAAATAAGATAAAAAAAATTAAAATGTTACAAATGGTAATTAAACATTAACATTCAATATTAAAATTACAAAAACTACACTTTCCTAAGTTACACACTTGTAGAGTGTTTGTAGTTTCAATTTTAATTATGAGCTTTAGATTCAAATTTTAATGTCTTCTTTTCACTTACTATAAGATATATTATATTTAGAATTTTACGATTTGCAATATGAAATTTGAATACCTCTATTCCAGGTGCATTACGATCTTGTAGAGCAGCTAACACATCAGGTCTATTTAAAATTTTGGAGAAAAGTTCTGGGGATTTGTTATCATCTTCATCTTCAACAGATTCCATTTCACTATTATCGCCAGCACGCTCTGGATCAGTTGTCATAGTACTATAATCCAGATTTATTTTTTTTTCTTTCATTAAAACAAACCATTTGTATAATTGAAAAAAGAATTTTATCAGGCAAACATAGAATACAAAATGAAACAATTTATTAAAAGCTTAAAATAATATTTTTAAACTGTTTTCTATATTTTGTAAGAAACATTTACAAAATAATATACTATATTTTCTTAGATATTTTATTAAAAATTTTTTTAAGGTTAAATGTATTCAATATAATTTTTTAATTAAAATATAAATAAATTAATGGACTTTTAGCGCACATACTGTGAACTCATTTAATTTGTAATATTAAAAAGACATTAAATATATGAAAATATTTTTCTTTTTTAAGATTTAAGCAATATTCTTAATAAAATTATTTCAAATTATAATTAACCAATCTTTTTTTTTTATTAACACTTATTTATTTTTAAAGTTGTAGTAAAAAAAAAAACGATGATAATTATTCGTTTGAAAAACATATTTCAATCGAATGGAGATCGATATATATTCACGAATGATGTAAAAAACTACACATACTAAAAAAAATCATTGAAGCCACATGTATAAACATATATAAAAAAAAAAAGAAAAGAGTACGAAATATAAAAAATTTAGAGAAATAAAAAACGCAGCATAAAGCGAGATCAATCAATCAATCGACAAACGTATTGAAATTGAGCTGCACGTTACCACATAACTCTTTATTAAAGATACATGGCAAATATCACGAATCTGTTTTTAAATGCATGCTTCTGAATGAAATAAGTGTTTTCGTAAAAAAGAAAAAAAAAACATTCACTCATGACGAATTTCCTCCATTCAGATTAGTTTCTCTATGATCGTTGAACTGACATTTGAAAGTCACCATATTCGCAAGGAAGAAAGGTTATTTGCTAGGGTACGCAGAAAAAAAGATAACGGAAATTACATTAATCCACCGACTATTCATTGGAGCTATGCCAGTTTATTAAACGCTCATTTTATTATCTTTGTTGTATATTTAACAAGAATGTCCAGATATAACGAAACTATCGCAAGGTTCAGTTTCACGACACAAAGAGCGTGCACATGGGACGAACAGGAAATGTAACAATTTCTAGGATGGTAAATGCGTAGAAGTCGAAAAAATTGAAATACAATTATTTTCGAGCGAAAGCGGTTAGTTACGTGTGTTTGAACGTTGGGATAAAAATATTAAAATAAAGGGCAAACGTACCTTTTAAAACTGCACAAAAGAAGAGCCACAGAACGAACAACGAACCGGTCGTTGTGTCGGTACTTTCGTATAGTAAGTCGCACACTCACAATACGAAATTGGTTCTACTATCCTTTTCTGTTGTCATCAAGTGCTGCTATTATGGCGGTCCAAGAAATCCCTAGATACTTTTTCCAACTGCAGTCAATAAAATTTTTTAACGTAATGAATTTATATTTATCACCGAAAATTGTGATTTCTGAATAATTGTAAATATATTTTACGGAGTTCTTTTAAAATGTTCATTTTTTAGAAGAAACTATGAATCACTTGAAGAAATTGTAATTTATAAAATTTAAAATGCGAATTTGAAAAGTCGAAAAATCCCTAGGTAATTTTTTTAAATATGAAGCTAATTGATTTTTAACAAATATATAGGGAATACAGTTCATAATAAATTAAATTAAGATGTTCACTTTCTGCAAGAAGAAATCGAGAAATTTTAGTTCGTAAAATAATGGGACGAAATAAATAACTTTGGACCACATTTTGACAAATGCTGTAGAATATGGTAGAAGAATCTTAGCATTGTAGTATCGTTCATAGTATATTTTTTTTGTTATACCGTACGCCATTAATTTTAAAGAAAAACGAAATTTCAAATTGAATAAATTTTCTTAACGTTCATTCCGGTTGTTCGACCAATCGAATGAGAAGTAATAAATATAACTGGTCACGTGATAGTCAAACTATTGACTGCTGTAAACCAGCTAGTAAATTATTTTTTGTCACTATAAGAAATTCCAAACTCCTGTTTCTCCTTTATATTTTTATTAAAAATGAATAGCAAATAGTGCGTCTTGCTACATTTCAATCGAAATTTAATTACTCAATACTTAATTTTTGAAAAATGGTCGTTCTTCATTTTCAGTATCTGATTTTTACGGTAATACATCTCAGTAACTAGTAACAATGCCAAGGACAAGTATAAAAATTGCTTTCTATTTTGAAATATATCACAAAAATTATAATTTACGAAATACAATATGTTACGTATTAATAGATAACGTATAGAATATACGGAAATATAAAAATTCGTGTGCGTAAGTTGTTATTACTAAAATATTTCGTCATGATAATATTGTATTCGACTTTTTAACAGTGGCTGTCACATTGATTATATTTTATCATTACGATGAAAGTTCGGTAATTTTAGTTGTCCATAAAATTGCTTTAGTATTTTTGTAATACATGCACACGACTTGATACATATTGAATAGACTACGAACGTACATATTTACAAAACTGTATAGAACATATGCAACGTTCGAGATTAAAATAAAATATCTGAAGTAAGCTACACGTTGAAACAAATTTAGTTTTCCTTTCTTTAATTGTACTCGCGAAAACGAGAATTTGCATAAATATCCGCAGTAAAACAGTTGCATTATGGGATACATTAAGTATCGTGAATTTCGGCCTTTTTCCCCTAGACTTCGATCACATGGTTTTATTTACCTTCTCCGATATCATTCGAGCAGACCGTAGTTTCAATAGAAATTATCGTTTACTTCGAGAAGGGGAAATAAGATGGCGGTGTGACGTCACGTCCGCTCAGTACGAAAACGTAACGTAATTCGCTAACACGTTTTCTCCTGTAACAGCGTATTCCTTCGGGCTTCGCGCCTTCGTCAAATGCAGTGAGCGTCGGTGTACGTAAAATGGCGGACGGTGACATTGATTTGTACGCCGACGATCTCGAGCAAGATTTCGCGCAGGTAATTCGTTTTTATCATTGCTAATAAGTAACGAGCCGTTTTGTAGGCGTTGTTGTTAATTGGCTATCTTTGTAAGAAACATTGGAAACTGTGAGAAAAATGCGATAGTAAAACGGGATTGCTCGGCGTCATGGAGGAGAGATGGTAATGATTGCTTCGGCAAGAAGCGGTGTGTCTGATTCTCGTTCAGTCCGGGATCCCGATTTCAATAAACAGTTTCACTCGTGACGAATAGACATTGCATTCGATTATCACGGCCGATAAACATTTTCTGTATTCTGTTACATAATTACCGTGGCCCGTGCACGTTCGGTTGCATCGGGGAAAAAAACTTAAAAAGCAAATACGTATAATACACAGATTCGCAGCAAGAAAAGCAAAATGGTGTTAGCGGTAAGGCGAATGTCTCGTAGCGCATTTTTATTCCTCCACTTCATTTAGTTTTTAACAAAAATTTTTCATTATTGCATGCGAGACACCATTTTCCTCTTAAAACATTATATTATTTTCAGATCTGACCGTTTTATTTGTATGTAATATTTTTTTTCTTTTTTTTTTTCTTTTATTCCGACAAATTGCGACTAGTGACTATTCGAAAAGCGAACTTCTTTTCATATGTGTATGTAATTTTAATGAGCGTTGATAGAACCTTTCTTTAAGAAAATAATTTCTCAATTATTCTGCACTTTGTATCATGCTATTTTTTGATCCTCGTCTAAAATAATTTATATTTTTTAAATTCCAAACTCGTTTTGATAAATAAGTATTTCATAAGTATGTCTTTTAATTTTGAAGGAATATATTTGTTTAAAACTATTTTTACTTATGATTAAATATTTGTTGCAATATAATAGAAATAAATACATACTATTATTAGGAATATATAAAAAGAAGATATGTATATAATTTATGAATTGTTCTTTATTAAAAATTTGAGAGATAGTTTGTGAATTAAAATATTTGTTTTAATGTATTAATTAATGTACTTTTTTTCAAAATAATGTTGGTTTTTTGAACTTTGAAAAAGATAAGTAAAGTTTTGTTTTATGATTTTAATGAATAATATTAAATTATATTTTGAATTTATCATTAGCACTATGTGTAATATTTGTAAAATATTCATAAACTATATACCTGAATAATTAGGAAAAAAAATTGAATATTAAATTAATTTTTATTTATATAAATGCACATTATGTTCTTAACATAATTTATAAAAATACTTAGTTTCCTTATGTAATTATATTAAATTTTTATGGTAATTAGTTTATCAATTCAATGATCTGTTTTAGGATGAGTTTGCTGGTGACGGCGTTGATTTGTACGATGATGTGATAGCAGCTCCTGCTGGTGGGAATGGTGGCGTTTCTACGGGAAACAGTGGAGATGGTGGAGGTGATACTACCTCACCAAATGAGGAAACAAATGGTAGTGCGCCTTACCATCAACTTGGAAATAACATTCAGCCAAATCAAATTGGGAGACGTCATCAACTATATGTTGGAAATTTGACTTGGGTAAGTAAATTAGACATTAACTTATTTTCATTAGTTAGTTTTTATTTTAAAAATTCGGAGATTAAATATTGATCAGAATAAGATCAATATTTTTGTACCCATTTAGATTTTATTAACATATTTATATTGTAGTGGACAAGTGACCAAGATATAACTGATGCAGTTCAAAGTATTGGCGTATCAGATTTTGTTGAAGTAAAATTCTTCGAAAATCGAGCTAATGGACAATCTAAGGGTTTCTGTGTGATATCTCTGGGTTCAGAACAAAGCATGAGAATTTGTATGGAAAGATTACCTAAAAAAGAATTGCATGGACAGAATCCAGTAGTAACATTTCCCACTAAGCAAGCTTTGAATCAAGTAAGTGTAAATATTTACATTATCTACAAACCATTATTTGCGGGAAAGAAATAATTGGTATTGTAGAAAGTTTATTTTATGTATATAATCCTTTTTACGAGCTTTCAAATTGGTAGCTGTAAGTAAATTTGATATTTTCTTTTCCTTTAAAAAGATTACTTGCAAAATAGTAAGTTTCCACTTTTTAGATGTAAGATTATTTATAAATAGTTAATATACTTTTCATATAAACCGTGTTTAATCAAATTAGTTTAAAAATTAATATAAATAATTTTGTACATGAATATGAATATTTTTCAAGATTATATCATTAGGTCGTCAAGGAATTAATGTTGTTTAAACTACTTCTTTTAATCAAAGCGCATATAATTAACAACTAAAAACTGGATATGTCTATAACATTGACTGTAAATATTCAAAAATATATCAAAGAATAATTTTTCATTAGGAGTATAGTGTACTTCTTTTTCTTGAGAAAACAATATGAATTTCTCGATGGCTTAATCATTTCTTTTTCCCGTTAAACAAATGTTAACATTTTGTATGTTTGAAAATTGTTTATGTTCTCAGTTTGAGTCTCAGTGTAAGACACGTCCAGCTCCGGCTCCTCAGCAGAGTCAGAGTCAGCGCCCCCATAATCCACATCAACATCAGCCACCAATGCCACCTCATCAACAACACCCACAACATCCCCAACATCCTCAACATTCACAACAAAATCATGGTCCTAGGATGATGATGGGTCCTCCACAGGGTGTAAGACCACAAAGAATGCCACCTCCAGGAATGGGTCCACCAGGTCCAGGTGGCCCTGGACAACAAGGTCCACCACGTATGCATGGTCCACCAATGGGTCCTGGACCAGGACCACATCATCCTTTACCTGGACATCCTAACCAAGGTCCACCACCTCCTGGATATCAGCAAGGACCATGGAATGGGCCAAGACCTAATGGTCCACCTGGACCACCCAGAGGTCCAAGTGGACCTGGTGGTCCACCTCAACAAGGGCCACCAGGGCCAGGTCCTGGTCAACATCGGCCTCCAGGAATGGTATATAATATCTTATTTAATCTTATTTAATTAGTAAACATAATTGTATAACAATTTTATTTATCTTAAAACAATTTTTTATATATAAAACTCTAAAACTTTATAAATATAGAATTTTTATTTTGATGTAAAAGTAAAAAATAAATAAAAAAAGAAAAGAATGTAATATGTAATTATCTAATATAATTATGTATTACAAATCTATGTAGAGAAAATTTTTAAATATTTTTTAGATAATATTTCTAATATTGATTAAAAATTTTTGTTGCTCATTGCTTGATTTTTTATAATTTTATGACATATTGTATATGAATTGATACATTATGGTACAAATTACAAGAATATTTTTTGCACTTACATGTCTTACGCTCCGCGTAAACAGAGTTGCACTAGAGACCTTTCAGAAGCCAGTTACCATATGCCACAGGTAACACACAATGTGTTGTTTTCCCTGCTTTTCACGTTGTAAAAATTATCCATTCAAACTGATTTATTTTTTAATAAAAAATTTGATTAAACATTATTACTAAATAAATTTAAATTTTATTAAATTTAGAATTTAAAAAATTTTTTTTTTTTTTTTTTAATATATTTAGAAAAGAAGAATTTAAACTATATTTAAAAGAAATCATCTAACTTGTGTTTTTCAGTATTTCTTAATTCAATTATCTTTTGAATTATTGATTGATTAATTTTAAATTAATCCTTTTTCTATATCAATTTAAATTAAAAGAAAATATAAAAAGTATATATAAATAGTATATAAAATTTATTTTTTTGGAAGTTTATCACAATTTCAGTGCATGAGATATGTATAACATGAAAAGCTTTTTCAGAAAACAATTAATTATTTCGTTTCAATTTGTTTAGTGTTTAATTAAATATATACAGCACATTGAAAAGTTTTTGATAAATCAATAACTGGCTCTGATATCTAAATGTTTCATCAATGTTATTATTTATTTTATGATCATATTTTAATAGTATTCATATTTTAATATAATAATTTGTTTTTGATTCATCCTATTATTAATTAATTTTTTTTTTTTTTTGCTGTTATTTTCCAAGTATAGAAAATGATTTTTAATTTAATTATGGTAGATTGAAATAGAATCTTCGTTTGTCTCCATTCAGCAATTTCATGGTGGTCCACCTGGTCCACCTGGTCAAGGACCTCCACGTGGTCCACCTGGACATCCTGGTGGACCTCCAGGTGATCCAAGAGGTGCTCAACCACGTCCTGAATGGAATAGACCACCAGGTTTGTTAAATACCATAATTCGTCATAAATTATGTACTGAAACATCTTGGACTCACATGCTCTATTCTTATTTTCATTTTATGTGTTGTTATAGTAAAATCTTCCTTTTTTCACAGTCTGTAGTCTGCATGATAGAGTAGATGTGTGAAAATTGTCAGATATATGAAAATTGTCATAAAGAACTTTAATAGATCACTTTAAATAACAAAACATTATGTAATCAAATTATCGTGAAAGTTCACTGATGTAATTATTCAATGTGCATAGGAATGCATCATGGGCCTCAGGGACCACCAGGTTTCCCTCAACATCAACATATGCAAGGCCCGCAACCTGGTCAAGGCCCACCACAGAGAGGACCTCCTCCAGGTTCTATGGGTGGTGAGAAATTTAGGATGTTCATTGAATATTAATAATATTGCTATTAATTTTTCTTATAATATTGCATGATATTGAGGGAAATTTTATGCTTAGGAGTATGAAGGTACAAGGTGTTTCAGACTATAATAACGTAATAAATAAGTCTATTTTTAGAATAAAATAATTAAAACAAAACTAGAATTATTTTTTATGTTATAAGATCATTGAATCATTCTATATTTATTACTAATATTTAAAACTAAAAATTGATTAGTATTTTCAATGAACATGAAATATATAATTTTTGTAAATAACATTAAAAAATAAATAACAACGATATAAGAAAGAAATAGTTCAATTTTAGATAAATATATTTAGAACTGTAAAAAGAGAATGTAAGAAGTCAAAGTCTAGAACAATTAATTATAATTTTACAGCATTGTGCAGGCATATCCTAAAGCAAAAAATCTTACATTATCAAGTTGATTATAAAATAAAAATTATTTCACGTAATTAAACAAATTTTTAAGCTTGCTATATACATTGTTGCAAGCTAACATAGATATTGATCAGGAATGTTACCAGGTCCAGGAGGACCACCACCTGGTCATGGAGGCCCACCTCAAGGACCTCCACAAGGACCTCCGGGAGGACCTGCACCACATGTGAACCCAGCATTTTTCCCACAAGGGCCACCTCATCAGCATCCAGGACAACATCCACCAGGTCCTCCTGGTCCACCTCATGGACCACCTCATGGACCACCACATGGTCCACCTCATGGTCCCCCTCATGGACCTCCACATGGTCAACCACATGGACCACCGCATGTACCACCGCATGGCTATGGACCACCTGCAGCACAGGTATGTTGTATTCTATCTTGTATTGTCTATTGTACTTTTATATTTCTGATATTTTAATCGTTTATTATTCAACTTCATAAAGTTTTCATAAAAATCAAAATGAAATATATATCTTATAGCCACCTTATGGTGCACCAGGCCCTGACCATCGTCCAGAAGGGCCTCCTCCACTCACAGAACAAGAATTTGAAGAAATCATGGGTAGAAATAGAACCGTATCTTCTTCTGCAATTGCTCGAGCAGTATCCGATGCTGCGGCAGGAGAATATGCAAGTGCTATAGAAACCTTGGTTACAGCCATTTCTTTGATAAAACAATCCAAAGTTGCTGCAGATGATAGATGTAAAATTTTAATTAGTTCTCTTCAAGACACTTTACGTGGCGTTGAAACCAAGAGTTATGGATCAGCACGTAGGGGTAAATTTCTTATATTACGTTTATTTCTTCTATATATTGAAAACAATTTTATCTATATTTACCATTGAGTATAATTAATTTGTAATAAAATTTTTTCATTTAATGGATTATTTCAGAACGATCACGTTCACGAGATAGAGAACGCAGTCATAGAAGAAGACGTGAGCGGTCAAGAAGCCGTGATAGAGAATACAGAGAAAGAAGCAGGGATAGAGATAGAGAGCGTGACAGGGAACGCGACCGTGAAAGAGAAAGGGACCGTGATCGTGACAGAGAACGTTATTATAGTGAACCATATCCACGAGAACGATCACGAAGCAGAGAGAGGGATCGTGAACGTGAAAGAGATCGCGAATATAGAGAGCGAAGCAGAGAAGAAAGGTAAGCTCAATATCTCATACAATTATTTTAACTGTCACCATTGGATGTACCTTTTTGTCCAATTTATTTAAAAATTAACTAGTAGTCACAGCTTATAACTGACAGTTTAATAATAGCCACGTATGTGTGTGATTCAGATAAAAAGAAAATAACTATGATAAGTTTATACTTACATAAAATAATCCGATATTTACATTGTAATAAGCCGAATATAAACTATATATAGTTTACTAAATACATCATGCAAATTTCTTCACAAATAGATATATTATTATATCAACGACATTGACTTAATTGATATAAATCCCATTTATTGTATTATATATTTTTCAAGTATTTTAAACTGTACAATGCAGAATATTGTATGCGGAGTTCATTCAAAAAGTTTTAATTAAATACTTATTTAAAATAGCATTAAATAGTATAAAATTTGATAAAACTGCAAGTAAATTAAATGACTTGTAACCGTAATTAATGATGTTTAAGTAAGAACGCATTGATTTATAATGTGTTCAAATAATGCGTAAAATAGTTAATAATGTGTGTTTACTTAGGGGTACGAGGTATTTAATTGGGATAAATTTAGCTGCTATTAGATATTAAAAATTATTTGTAACGTTTGTATGATCCGTATTAATTATGAAAGAATTCAGATTCAGTAGACTTTTTACATGGTCATGTAATAGTAATTTATAAGATTAATAATACAAGTGAAATTAACCCTTTTGCTGTAGTCCAATTTTGTATGTTGTAGTTCTAGAATATCATAATTGTTCAAAGAGAATCTTTGATAATTATGTAGAATAATTTCGACTGAGTCAGTGATTCAAAGGATGTTAACTCTAGTCGAGCAAAAATAATTATTCATATTATTAGCAGCGACAGGGTTAAATAAAATTAATGTTACTTATTAATATGCTAATTGTTATTGGATACTTTAGGTTTCGAATATTTTTTAACAATAAATATCAAGTAAAAATTTATTTATATGAAAGTAAATTTAAATTTTCTTTTTTTGTTAATGTTGACAATTTAATTTATAAAAGTTTAAGATATTATGAACTTTTATTCTTTATAAATTGCACTAGAGATAGAATATTAATTACATTAAAGAATTTTTTTTTATCAAAATTTTAAATATTTATAAAGTATAAAAAGTAACAATTAACGTATTAATTAATACATATATTTTTATTATAAGTATCAGATTGTTCGTTAATGTCTACTTTTCATAAATTTAATATAAAATTCGTTAAAAGGATTGATTAAAAGCAATTATCATATTATCATAATATAGTTGTCATAGTATACTCTGAAATTTACAAATGGATATTATTTGTAAAACAATCAAATATCTTGATCTAGGTGCTCTGTGTTCTTATTGAGTGTTATTATTCCTATGTTAACTTCCATAACTGTGCATATTATATAAATATTATCATAAAATTCTAATACAGGATGATTTTCTCACTAGCTAATTCAAAGATGGCGATGCCTATCATATATTCTTGTTTTTACTTTGCATCTATATGCATATATACTTATTTTTATTTTAGCTTCTGATATTAGAGATCTGGCGTAACGTTATTACTGCAGTGTTATTGATGGTAGTGCTTTGATTTGCCTAGTGAGGAAATTATTTTATACAATAATACAATGAAAATATAAACATACTTGAGATTTAGTAAATTAATTTTTTACAAAAAATATATTATAATTTAACGTCAGTATTTGAAGTTATATTCATTATGTTTTATGTTGTACTCGTCAAGAGTATCAACACAATAAATGTACAATAGAAATTTATTTTTTTCTTTTTTGCTTTCTTAATTTTGTTAAAAAATTAGTAGAAATTGTAATATTTAAATTATTAATTATTTATTAATTATTTAGTAATATTTAAAAAATGCTCAGTGTGTATTGGTTAACATAGGAAAAAATTTATTATTTGTCAGCTATTACAAAATGAAATCATAAAACTACTCTTATGTTTGTTTTAAAGTAGCAACCAATTTTAATACTTTTTTTTCTTTCTATTAATCTTCTAATCAGTAAATAATTACTAAATAATCATTATAGATTCTGATTAGTTATGATTTTAAAAAATAATGAGGATTTTTCCTTTTTTAGTAAATTAAAAATTTGCGATCTCAATTTTGAAAAAATATAATATTTTAAGAATTTATGTATAATAATAATGTAACTTAAATGATACAACTGAAGTAACTCTATTTGCGAGTTATAAAGTTTATTGTAAATCGTTCAAAATTTTATGGACTAAAACGACAAAAATTGTAATTTTATCGATCGTATTTCGTTTATTAGTTTTGAAATAATTAACATAAGTGACACTGAGATTTCAAAGATTAGATAGCTAATAATAAATTACAAATACTCATAATTTAAATGATTAAAAGATTTGTAGATTAAGACAAACTTCTGTTTATTTGTTAAATACATTAGAACAATTTTAAGAATATGTTCAAATCTACATTTTTATTTCAATAGTGTAAATACGAGGGAAAAAAGTTTGTATTCAGTTTTAGTGCTACTTCAGCAACTTATTTTTGTCACAATGTGATATTTAAAGTGTGTGTGCGGGTGCACTTAGAATCGTAAAATGTCTGAATTACGTTAATTTACACTAATAAAAAGTTAAAGGTTGAAGCTATACAACAAAAGTTTTTCGAACATATAATTGATAAATTTTGTAAACCAATGTTAGCTTCTTCCCTGAGACAAGCCGTACGATACATTCAATACAATATTTCCCTCTTATTCCTCCTATTTAGTTGTAATTTTTATTTCCAAAATCATCATTGGAAAAAGTATGTAAAAGAATATGCATATCTTTTTTTATAAATATTGCTTTTTATTCAAAGCATATTTCAGTGTGTTCCATAGAGATATTGCAAACAGAATTTTTACTAAATGTATTTAGGATTATTATTATTAGGAGAATTGATTATTATTATTACTAAATGTATAGGATTATTATTATTAGGAGAATTGAATATTTAATTATGAACTAGTTTATTGATATATTTAAAAATTACTGAGATTTATCTACAGATAAAATCATTACAGTTATATAATTTTAACAATTTATGAGCTTAACAGTTCATGAATTAAATAATCAATTTTTACATATCAATATATTTATTGTTTTATGAAATATGAATAGGAATTATACAATTTATTTATTAAATTAGCACATTCAAAATTATTATTTCTAAAAAAAAAAATTAAATGAAATTAATATAATATGTAAAATGTATAATTATTTTCTATATATTAAGGTAGTTAAATGCTTCTTCAATTTATACATTATATTGACACAAGATCTGCACTTATCTGGAGAAAAATTGTAATATCGATTGTATTAAGGTGATATTTGTACAAATATTTCATTACAGTAGTCGTAATCCTGAAACCATAAGAATAGGTCAAATTTATGAAACAAACATTCTAGCAAGAACTATTTTCTGTCTTATGTAAAGATCAGTTATTTTTGTTCCATTTTGAATATTCTAAAATGGTTACAGGTTGAACGATGAATCCGAAAATTTATTCGAATATGTGTAAGTGTTATACATGCACTTACATGTAATTAGTAACTCTAGTTAATACTACTTAGAATAATATATTAATTGTTATTATTATATTTTCTAATTTAATTTGCATTTTTGATAGAAAAATGCTAAAAGATGATTATTCAATCAGTCAAAGTCATATAGAGTAAGTTTATAATTTCATATAAATTTTGCTCAAATAAGTGATCGTTGCTAGATTATAGTTGAACACTGAAAAAGAAAACATAACTTATTTTAACTAAAGCAACGTATTAAGCCTGGTAACAGTATAAATCATAACGAAGTATGCATATTTTCCATTAGTACGACACGTCAGTCAGCCAGGCCAAGAGTAAAAGAAGAACCGCCAGAGACGGCTCCCGTCTCGTCTTCCAAGGCGTCTAGGTAATTCAAACTTTTTTTTCATTAAAGTGAATGCATGTAGATCTTGTTATAAAGTACTATCTTGTTAAAAGTTTCAGTCAGAATTTATGTATTATCAAGATTATTAATTATTTCAAAAGTAAATATTTTAAGTTTAGATGTAAAGTAGTTCAGAAGTAGATGAAAGAAAAAAAGAAGAAAACGAAGAGTATAAAAGATATAAAGATGACAAAAAAGTACAAATTGTTTCAACCAATGCATATAATGAGAAAAGTTATTAAAAGTCATAATTTTATTAGAATATCACACGAATTCAGGGAATCTTCTGTTTTATAATTAAAAACTGTTTATTGCAAATTGTTAACAAAATTAGGCAGCTATTAGTCTTTTTCTGTTATTAAAATTTTTTCTTGAATATTTAATTGTTAAAATAGAGACTTTTTATGGAATAAACTATCTCTTCTTCTAAGTGCTTGATAACTTCTTCTCTTCTTGAATGAGTCTCTTCAATGAGTAAAGAACTGATTGTAAAAAACACAAAGAAAGTGTTAACAAAACGAATAAAGAAAATATATTGTAAAAATCATAATGATCGAAAAGGATACATTTAGAGAAAGATGTATAGCGTATCACAGAGTAAATGTAGATATATCTTAAAAGGAATCAAAAAAAGAATTTTAAAAAACGAATTAATAGTGTACACCGGTAAAGTAAAGATAATTGGCTGACGTGTACTTGTGTAGGTATTATGACGATCGCTACAGAGAGCGTGAACGAGACAGAGATCGAGAACGAGAGTCAAGCCGGAGACCATCAGAGAGAGAACGAGAACCGGAGCGTGAACGAGAACGTGAACGAGAAAGAGATCGTCGCGACGAACGTGGAGACTCTTCTCATCGTTCAAGGCATTAAAGGCGACTGCACGCTGAAGAGAAAGAAAAGGACTCTCATTATGAAACGGAATCAGGAACAACAGAAGTAGTGAGAGTAAAAGAGCAGAAGGGGAAGAAGACAAGGAAGATGATCGTGCTTTAGCATACATCGTGTTCGCGGGATCTCACCGTTGCAATCTTGCAAGCTTCATCGAGAAACAGATCCAAGAAGATACATTTATCTCCTGAGAGCACACTTTTATATTTTATCTGAATATTAGTAGTATTTAAACACTTTCTCGACCGATCAAAGGAATCATTGATTTCAGAATGAAGAAAACAAAGTAATTTTGCAATTGATTAAAGATTTCTTGATTCCATTTATACATGATTGGTAATTCAGAGCACCTTTCAATACAAGACATTTAGTCTTATAGTAGAAGCATAGATAACTATCTACCTTATTTGTTTTATGTAATGAATAGTTTTGTTTGTACTAGAGGCTTGTAGCTCATGTATATTTAATATTCATGTATATGAAATAATGTATTTGTATATTTAGCTGAATAATTTTTAGTACATGTTTAGTACATGTATCAAAAATTCATATTTAAATACTCAGATACACATGTATTAACGTATCCGTGTTCTAACTTGCAATTCCAAAGTCAATATTTTGAAAATTTTATTTTATTCTTCCACGATTATATTGCATTTTAAAAGTCATCATTATGTTAACATCACAGTTTATCTATAATGCATCTTCTCTATTGCATATTAAGACTCATTGTGTTAATATCTACGGTTATGCTACAACATTTATCTATAGTGATTAATAGTTTCTAAGTTTTATATTAAAGCAAGATCGTGATCAATCATAATTTTTTTTTCCATAAACATATCAAATTCTGGTTACAAAGAATTAAGGACATCAATTTTTTTATTTTCTAATAACATACTATTTTCGTTTCATAATAGCTGAATAGCTCCTGAATAGCTATTACAGCTACTTCAAGAAACTATGACCTCTAGAACTTTTATTAATTAAAACTACGTAACTGTATATTGAATCATAAATATTTATTTTTAGATGTGTTTAGATATATTTATCAGTATGTGACGAACTATCTAAAAATAGAGAATCTCGGTCGAGAAAGTGACCAATCTGAATAAGATTTGGGCATAATTTACAAATTATATGAAATTCCGGCAGAATTTCAAATCGCAAACATTTTAGTCAAGTTACCAAGGGATGGTTTTATCATGTGGGATTCTTAGTAACACGTTCTGTGTAGAAAATTGACCATAGCGATTTTCACGTTTCTTTTTGAGTCTCACTGATGTTTTTGTTTTTTCTTTCTTTTCTCTTTTTACATAGTATACATTATTACATTATTAAATATTATTACATTAATTATAAAAACAACAGGAAAAAATGATAATGAAGCGAATGAAAAAGTGCATACACCATATATACATATATACATATATATCTATGTAATATTTAAGCAGAAAATATTTGATTAGTTTCCAGAGACAAAAAAGAAAAGGGGAGAGAGATAGTAAGGGTGAGAAAGCGAGAGAGGGAGAGTGTGTGTTGTCGAAGAGTGGCAAAACAAAAAAATGATAGTAATAACAGCAAATTAATAAAAAGAAAAAAAAAGTGATGAAAGCACAACGAAAGCCATATTTCACGGAGAGTCGTATTCAGTTGCGGTTTACAGAGAAGCTGAAGAAGAGGCCTCGCCCTATGTCCTGGTGAATAGTGCTATGTTTGCTGAGGAAGAACGAAGATTATACTCTGGATTCTCATCATCAGTCTTCTAGAGCTCCACGACGATGCAAGATTGTATCTTAACTATAATATATATATACGCTTTCAAAAAAATATACGTGATAAACATGTCTTTACTTTATTCATCAGCACACACAATCTTCCTGATAAATATGTTATTTTTGTTTTTTGTGCTATTGCATTATTCCAATTATTAATCGAAAGGTGGATTGAAAACAAATACACATCAAAATCTGATTTAGACACTTTCGATCCCACCTTTGATTAATTCATTTTCGTGAATGTTCAATTTTTACTGTTCATAATAATGACCGATTAGGGGTCGAAAGTGTGTGATAACAGGGGTGAAACACGATATTTTATGTGCAAAGCAATGTTATGTTACCCTGATTTATTTCATGATACATACTAGTCTCATTTATGAAATTGGAAAGATCAATGTCAGAGTACTTGTTCTCTGATAGTTGAATGCTTGAAAACTAATTTATCAAAATTTATCCGAATCTTTAATATAATATATGATAATATATGATGCTGGAAGAAAAAATTTCATAATAGTAAGTTTTCTTTTATATTTAAGGAATGAACAAAATGTTAAAAATTAATCTGATGTATTGCTATATCCTCTAATAATGTTTTCTGTTAATTTTAAATAAGCATAAATATTATATCGATTTGGAGTTTTGGTAAATGAGTTTTAAGTTACAGTGCCATTTTATTTTTCACTATTTAGTTGAAATACCATAGAAAGTTATTTACGGTGTACAGTATTATTGTGAAAGCGTAATACATTCATGGAATGACTGTTCGAATCATTAAAAAGGTTCCTGTGTATTATTGCAAAAGAGAATTTCTTGTGTACGCCCTTAAGAATGTACACATTAATCCTCGTGTAATCAAGGCTTATATAATTAAGGTTTTTATAAAGAGTTTTGTTTACTCTTTTGTGTTCGGAAATGTAGATTTAATTGTACATAAAAACATCATAAATATGATACTGCATTAGATATTGTGCATATATTACATATTTTGAAAATATGTAATTTAAATATAGTAATAAATTATAGTGATTTCAATTCTTGGTTGTACAAGGATTAGAAGCTAAAAAAATTAATATTCACGTCCAGTAGCAGAAACTTCCATGTTTTAGGAATATCGGTATTACTGTATTTTTCTATGCTCAAGCATGATGTTCTTAAGATTTAATATTCCTTTTTATATATTTGATCTTCGTTTCTATAAACTTCTTCAAAGTTGAAACAAGAATTATTATCTTTCAATTTATTTTTTAGTCACATGTGTTATATATATTATTTTTTAAGTAACATGTTATCCGATTGATAGATGTAAACGAAATTGTAAAAAAAAGCATATGCTATAAGTATTGAATCGTGCATGAAAAAGTTAAATATTACAATTGAAATATTATACATTGTGCATATTATCCTTCCTAAGGGAGGAAAAATATCAAGAATAAACAAAAACAGCGTGAACGGTTCATTTTTCGAAGGGGTTTTTATCAGTTATTATTAAAACTGAAATACATAATATAATGATTGCTCTATGAGACCAAATTGTACATAATTCTTGTTATATATCGCATAATTTGTTGCTTCAACTGAACCCTTTACGGTCTTCTTTCATGTATAACAAAATTACGAAATTCGCAACTTTTATATTGTGAAATGAGATTTTATATAATTTTACGTTATAAACATTAAATTTTTAATATTTTTGAAATGATTTCAGTCCGCAACAATTAGCGACATACCACTATTATTTTTACATGTTTTTATATTTTTAGTTGATTTCACTTAATATACGTTTTTAACCAGAAGCGTCATTTTTTAGAGAGAACGAAAAGGGAAGAGGACCGCAAAGGGCTGAGCGTTCGGTACCTTTTAATAAGTACCAGGCAACAGACGATGGACTCTTACAGAGCACAGTACAAGATAGATAAATTCTCAATAACAAAGAAAATTAAAATCTTGATAAATTTTTATGTTGTAATACACGAGACTAGTTTGCATGATAATATACATAGTATGTGCGTGTCTCGTAAATGATTATGTTTCAATGTGCCATTTTAAAATAATCATTATAGTTATCTCAACCATGCAGCTAAAAATAAGAGATATTGCTGGATCGAGTATGATCAATTTATAGTTCAATTGTTTAAGTTTTATTCACATTTTGATCCTTTGCGATTCAATGTTTCTCCTATTTAAAATTAGATTTATTTTATTTTATTATATATATATATCAGTTTTTATTATTATATTTATAAATCATAATTTGTCAAACATATTTTTCATGAATTATTTTTGTTATTTAATTTTTGTAAAAGTAATTTGCGCGATATTTATTTTATTATTTATCATTAAAAATATAGTTTTTTTTGGTATAATGTAATAAAATACAACTATATCAAAATAATCATAAACTAATGTTTATAAACACACTTAAGTTTTTATAAAAATTAATACTTTACAAAATAATTAATATTACAAATATATAGAATAATTAAAATTGCTATTATATTAAAATAAAGTTAGAATCGCAAAGGATTAACGTAATATATTCTTTTCATCCTTAATTAACTAGATGATTCCAAATTCAACAATTTTTGCAACAATCAATTTTCAAATTCAATAATTGAATTAATTTACAAACAGTATATCTATAAGTATTATAAGTACTAGACTATAAGTCTAGTTCTTAGAGAATGAAATGTATAATTCGTAGTTCTTAAAAAAATCTTCGGGCAGTAAGCACGTTGCAACAAAAATTTGCATCTTCTAAATTTGTTAGCCCTGTGCGAATTCTTTATGTATAGATTTTTCCCCTGCGATTCACCAACCAGAAAGGTATTTTATCGTAGATCAGTCATTTCATTTCTGAATCTTAAATTCAGAATGAAACTTCTCTCCAGTAAATAATAATATTCGAAAAATTAACAATCTTGACAGGATTAAAAACAAATTTTTATCTTCGATTCCAATATGATTTTGTCGAAATGTCGAAATAATCGAAGCATTTATAATGTTATTTTTCTCTTCAACTGAAAAAAAGACTGCATTGCATTCTCAAATTACAAACAATGCGACAAGTATCTTTTTTTTGTGTTAATAATGGGAATTGTCCATTTAAAGCGCAACATTAAGTGAGAAAAATATCTTACATTTTTGATAAAAATATTTTGTTATTTGTAGTATTAAATACTTTGTATTTTTAAGGTACTTTCCGTTTTTTAATTTTGTCTTATTTGTTTTACATATATTTTTATTTTTAACGTGAAAAAGATATTGCTTAGAAGAATCGTTGCCTATAGAAAAATATTTAGAATTAGTTAATTTTATTTTTAATTTTATTTTCTTTTTTTTTAAATATTATATAAATGTTACTAATTAAACCAAAAAGCATTTATTAGTTTTAATTGTGGTTGCGTTTTAAATAAATATTTCTATATTTATTTCTCATCAAGAGTACAAAAAACTGTGAGATCTGTTTAATTATATCTATTTATTTTTTAATGATTTATATTTGACATTATATTTATCATATAATATTTTGTTAATAGAAATCTTGGTCAACTAACATTAAGAATTATAAATTTATATAAATGATTGAATATTAAAAAAAAATATATATAATTCCAATCTTTTGAAATGCAAAGCGCTTTGTACTGAAAGGTATTATTATAAAGAACTATTACAGTTCTATGTGTTGATATTAAATACTGCGATTATTATCAAGAAAATTTTATAAAAGCAGAAAAAATTATAGTTCTGTGAATCTACACAAATAATTGTTAATATTTAGTGATCTTGATGAAACCGACGAAAATCTTTTGTAATCTCGACAAAGCATTATACCTAAATCTAATGACAACTTTTGTAAGTAAGTATTATAATGACATATTTAGAATTATGCAATGAAATTCCATAAAACTCTCAGTATTTATCATTCCATGATAATATTTTTTTTAACTTCATTCAGAATTATAAATTTGAAATATGAAACATGATAAATGTTAATTTAGTAGATGAATAATAATTATGAATTTATAATCAGTTGTCAAAAGGAATCAGAAATATCTCAGAGATAAATTGATGTTAAAATATATATATATATACACATCTTTGTGACTGTAAAGAAAAAGCATCGCATATCATAATTTCAAAAAATTTGAATTTATGCATTAATTATAGAATATAGAATTTATGTATTCTAAAAATGCATAAAAACAAAATTAGATTCAAAAAATAATGCAATTGAAATTCGATATTCCATTCATATGCATTTTCACAAAATTAGAGAATGAAACAATTACTCGTATTTTTCCTGTGTAATCTTTTATTTTTAATTTTTATTAATCTGCTTATATTATAAAATAAAGTGATCAAAATTATATCCTATATTTTTATTTGACTAGAAGTAACATGCATGAAATGAAAGAGAAACAAAATAAAGAGAATATTTATATTGTAAAAAGAAAACAGGAACATTGCTAATTACAAAATTGATATTAAGAATTTTAAACGATAATATTGTGTGATATGCAGTGTTTTTCCTTACAATTATAAATATATATATTTATACATATATTCAAATATCCAAATTATATAAAAGATTATTTACACCTTTTCAATATACTAGAATTTTAAAAAAAAGTCATTGAATCAATAATAGATCGTTCTATATAATATCTATAAATTATCAAAATGTATAAATGTTTTAAAGTACTTATTAGAAACATGCAAACATTCAGAAAAATGACGCAAACATAAAATATTATGTATAGAATACAAATTTTTTTTCTGTGATCTCGCTGAAACGCTTGAGAAACATTGAAATGTACACGTAATGTTGAAAAATTCTACAAAATTACTGTTCTTATTTTTTCTAGTATAATCTTATAATTAGTATAATTTTAAAACTTAGGAAATTAACCAAATCCTATATCAATCCTAATATGATAAAATTTGAAGCATTTGTTTCTAAAAAGTAATACTTTTTCTAACAAGAAAAAGCAAGCAGTAGAATTAAGTGTTCTTTACCAGTTAGAATAATTTATTTAAATTATACAATAATGCGAATTTTTAATGAGTGTAGGTATTTTTCAAAAGAATTTATTTTTCGAGTGTGCTGTGCATGGTGCCCTTTGCACAATTGCTCGTTATGATTTTTTTCTTTATGCATAATACATATCTATATGTATATATATGTATACATATGTACATATATGTATATATATACACATATACATACACATAGCATGTGATTTCGTGTATTACGTACTATTTAAACCTGTTAATATTTTATTAAGTCGAAAATAGAGGTTGCCGAAATTGGAGAAATGTGTATGGAGTTAAGGGGTAAGTGTATATCACAAAATACAGTTTTAAAAAATCGATACTTCCTGTGAATCACGTTTGTTTTGTACGTTTATCAATAGAATACATTTATATATACATACCTATACACACACACACACACACACACACACACACATATATATATATATATATATTTTTTTTTTCAGATGATACATGAGCTAAAATTTTGTTCAAACACGTTTATGTTACCCTGATCCTTCTGAGAGCGTACGAAGTAGTTAATTGCTTTAATTGTGTAAGCATAAATAATTAGATCCACAATAAGACCGACAATTAAAGTTACGTTCGAGAATTCAAGTCACTAACATGTTAGCGATTGAAAATGAAGTCATTGTTATTTGCTATTTTTAGCTAATTAATTAATTAACATGCTAGTTTCTACTGGAATCCTCGATGACTATCAATTTTACGGATGTTCAAATTTCACGAAACAGAAAAATGGAAAACTTGAAATAGAGTATTAACAGGTAATAAATTGAAATTTGAGCATTGTTATACATTGATAGTGATAATTTGTATAAGCATTGTACGATCTGCCAAGATCAAAAATTTTGGTGCGCTTTGTTACATATATCGGTAAATTTTGCCACTTTTGTATTATTTAGATACGAATTTTACGAATTCTAGTCACTTGTGCCTTTCGATTTTCGAATTCAAAGTTTGTAGAAATCATTACGAAAAGAAAAAAAAAATTAAGTACCGTTCCTTAATGCGCTCTTAAAATCGAATCCTTTAATGTTTAATCCTACAAAATGTTTTTACAAAAGAAAGAAAAAAAGGTAACGGTTATTCATTAATTAGCATTAATTACATTTTATATAATTATGGCATTTATTATTTTATTTATGTTATAAAACAAGAAAATACTTAACATAGGTAAAAGGTATATTACTACAAATCGATAAAATCGAAAGATATACAAATTCTATACGAAAAAATCGTGATACTGAAATAAATACAACTCATATTTTATATCGTATACAAATATCAACAAAGCAAAATATTTATAATTTTTACATTAGATTCGTTGCATTGTATTTTGCTCACGCTAAGTATTACGAATCATTATCGAAGTTGTAATATTATAATAGATTTAAGCATTGCGCGATGAGAAGACTATCTAGTCAATAACGATCGTAAAAAAGTTAATATTCCTACGTCATAATGTATCGATCCATATGAATAACGTGTTTTCAATTAAAAAGAAAATTGCATTTCTTGCATGATCGAATTTGTTAAGCGAAAAAGACGAGAGAAAAAGTATTCGTGACATTTGTTATAAACAGATTATCGTCTTTCAATGTAATTCAAAATATCTAACAATATTTTGGCTCGTAGGCATACAACAAGGAATTTTAAATCACCTTTTATGCAGATTGAAGCATCTTTAACAATTTGATCGGTCGTCTATCTAAAATTTTTAATGTTTACTTTCAAAAGACTTGTGAGAAAGTTGAAGAAAAATCATTGAAGTTTATCATTTTTATTATTATATTACAATTACTTCAACCTTTGAAATATTTACAAATTATATCTAATTTATTATAAGAAATTAAAAATGCACTCTCATAAAAATAATATCAAAACATATTGATGTTGAATTTGCTGAGTATGTTATATTTATATTACATATTGCATTACATGGTATATTAGTATATTAACGTATTTAGAGTAGAAGTTGAATCAACATAAATATTTCTTTTTTAGTCTATAGAAATTTACATACACTTTACTTATTTTGTAAAAACGTAACGTTCTGTTTTATAAGATTAGGATTTTAGTTTCAATTTTGGTTTTAAATTAGTTCAGAAAGCATGTTGAAGAGTTTTGCAAATATACTATGGTACAATCAAGAAAAAAAATTGTAAAAGTAAAAGAGAAAGAAATCGTACAAAGTGCAAAAATAGTTAGAATTTTTTCTGTGGCAACATCAATAATGAAAAATATTTATTTAAGGAGTATAGCATTAAACAAATCTTTAGAAATGATTGTGCAAAAATAAGATTTTGGGATACTCATGTTATACTTGCAAAAATGTTCCAAAGATTTCCTAAAATAAGTAGCCCAAAATTGTTACAAGATATTGTACAATTTCCAAACAAGACATATTAAAAAATAGAAGAATTATAAGATCATCTAATTTTCATATAAGAGTGGCCAAAAGAAAATCGTTCATATCAAAATGAGATCAAAGGGAACAATTTGAATTTGCCAAACAACATAATACTAAAAATTTAAATTTTTCATGAAGGAAAAGATTTAGTAAAAAACAAGGAATATTTTTAATAAACAACGTTAATTTTTTTTTAACAAGTATCTGAATTTAATCGATACATGATTTGGTACTAAACAAAAATTGTTACAGTTATCATCTTTGTTATGTCTTCAAATGTTTGCAGATTTATGTGACTGCGAAATTAGCGTTTATTTAAAAAAGCATTCAGATATATATATTTTGAAACTTAATCATTTTAGTTTGCTATATACATAGATTTGCAAAATGATTCAACTAATTTCTATATTATGTATAATGAATTTTCTCTCTTGAAATTCAGAAAACTATAATTTTATAACGAATAATATATTAATATAACAACGAAAGAAACATTTTTTACGACTTCCAAGGCTCGAGGTTATGTATAATGAAGTCGCACCACATTGCTTCTTAAGTATCTTTATTAATGCATTTTTTCTTCTTTCTTTTTTTTTCGCATCAAGAGAACATAATGGTAGAAAATAAAATATGCAATGTCAGTAATATCTTATTAATTTTATGTGGTTCATTCATGCTATAATAACTATTCCTTACTTTTAACTTTGTTTTATAAAAAAATTTAAGATTTCATATTACAGAACAAGAATATTACAAGTTTTTTGAAACATTGTATGATCTCTTAGAATATACATTTGCCTCACACTGCATAAATTTTGGAATTAATTAATAAATATATCAAATAAAAAAAAAAGGTAAGTGTTAAACTGGAATCAAAATTTTTTAATTACATTGCATATATAGTTTATCGTCAGAGGTATAAAAAAAATTATGATACATATGTAAATATAAAGTATATTATTTTTTAAAATTAAACTAAATTTTTAGAAATATAACAATATAAATATAATGAATTATTTGACTAGGAGTTTTAATTTAATATAAATATTTCAACAACTTTGTATATTTTAATGATTAATTTAAGAAATGTACTTTGCTTACTACATAAGAACTTTCAATGCTTAATTTTTTTCTACTAACTACTTTGTACTAACTTCTATTGTAATTTTTATTACTTGTCTATACAAACAAAATTGTAATTGATAAAATCTTTACATTTCTTTATATATATGTCATAAAAAAATATTAAATTCAATCTCAATTTCATTGTTAAATTGTGAGACTTGTCTGTGATAACAATTTGTATTTCGACAATAAATTTGTAAATACGTTTGTGAGTATGCACAGTCAAATTTTTTAAAAACCAAATAAATAGTGTACAACTTTTCTTTTTGGAAACCATTTTAATAAGAGCTACATTTACACATTAATATTCGTATCCTCTTTTATGAGATTTATTTGTATGTTTGTTGTGCATATATAATTAAGAATGAAGATTGCAGGCAGTGAGTTTCTTTTCTATCATACAATTTACATGATAAGCATGGCCACAATCAAATATTGCAATTCCATTATTACCTAATAAAACTGGTGTTTGAAGGGACAATGTGCAACAAGAACATGTAGATAATTTATTTTGATAACGAATCCCCCAATGATGTGGCCCATTCTCGAAAACATTCTTATTAATAACTTTATTTAAGTCTTTTTTGAGAACTCCTACCAATTGATCTTGAATCTGTAAAAAACATAAATTGTTTGTATATAACTTAGTCTAGTTAAAACACAAACGCTGAGATGTTTTTTTATTTTAATAAATAATTTTTTATCGATTAATTCAATAGTAGTAATTACCTTTGTAGAACATATTGTATCATATTCAGATGATTCCAAGTTATTTTTATTAAAATTAATGGTACACTTCATTCCATGATGATATAAAAGTTTTGTAAATACTATAGATTGAAATATACTGCAAAATTAAAATATTTTATCTTTTTTTTTTATTTTTTTATATTTAAGCGTCTAAGAAAATAATACTCACCTTCTATCAATATGAATGTTTGGAATAGCTTTTTCTAATTTTATTAATAGTGTCATGGCAATGTCAGGTCCCTGTTTTTTCATGATTTCATATATCACAGCAGTCCAGTTTACCCACTCTTCGTGATTTCCCCTTTTCATAGGCTTTCCACAGAATAGACACTGTCCTTCTTGTATTTCTCTTGTATATGTTGCAATATAGTTCCAATGTTTTCCATCCAATAACGGTAAAAGAATGGAAAATACAATATTGTCTCTAGTTTGAAGGCATTGATGTATTAGATCATTCGACATAATACCATGCTGTTCTGTGTAAAGTGGCAAGAATTCTCGCCACATGTAAGGTATTTTGTTACATAAATTTATACAGTGCTCCTTACATTCATCTAACATTTTCTTAAGAAGGGATCTACCAATCTCCAGGAACTTTGGTTCTATTAGTTCGTTCATTGGATACACACTACCACAGGTACATTTTCTGCAACTCTGTGTATTCACATTAACAAAAGTTTTCATTATCTGTTTTGTAATATTTTCGTTATCTGTAGACTGTATTAGTTGTATTGAAACATTTTCTAATAGAACATTAAAATAATATAGTTCTACGCTTCTTAATACTTCATATACAAAATTCTTTAATTCATCTAAGTTTTCATATGAATCTTTGATAACATTCATCCTCCAATCTATATCTAAAATTATTTTTTCTAATTCTTCTTCATCCATTAAAGGCCTAATATTACCAACTAATGCATATATAATTTCCAGATCTGCTTGTATTCTTTGTGTTACACTTTTATTTGAATTCAATATCTCTTTGGTTTCCTCCTGACTTTCTTCTATTTCCTCCGCTGTATTGCAATTTGTATCTTCATCCCTTTTCACTTTATTATCAAAGTCATTTAATAAATTGGTTGATGTTTTCTTTTCTGTTATTAATTCACTTTCATTATTTTGAAAAGAACAATGGGATACAGAGTGAAATTTAAAACTTTCTTCATTTTTCAGATCTGAATTTCCGCAATTAACGATTACAATACCTGAATCTAATTTTTTTGGAACTATTTTCACATTAGATTCTAACGAAAGTATTAAAGGATGAATTAATGTTGACAGTTCATCATCTCTAAATATCCTATTCTCTATATCACAAATATTATTAATCTCACTATTCTTTATTAATTTCTTTAATTGTACTTTATACATCAGGCATATCTCTAAACATTCGTAATATTTTTTCTGGCTGTACAATCGTAATATTAAGGAATCTAGGAGAGACAAAATTAAACAGTGAAATTCACCATCAGATGTCATCAAGTATATTTTGTTTTCTATAGTCTCCGCAAAAGTTATATTTGAAAATTCGTTACTCCACAGTACCACAGTTGCATTCAGCGGATCAATAATATATAGACCAGTGGAAGTATATGAAAATAAGTACTTCTCTGCAATAACAAACAGATGGGAGAAATTAATAGATTGTGGCAGCCAGATTTGTTCAGTTTGCTTTTGGTAAATGAGTTTTCTAATATTTGGCTTGCATATTACTGTAGGTGAAATAGCAAGTGCTTCTTTAAACTGATGAGTTTTCATCACTACTCCATTTGCAGACACTTCCCAAAGCCTAGATCCTGGTCTAGCACAAAATATTTGAGGAAAATTTTCATCTTGTTCCTTGCTATTACTCTCTGTAATGAAATTAAAAGAACCCTTTTTACTGATTAATTTTTCTTCCTTTTGGTCGACCGAAGCAGTCTTATTTTCTATAAGGTATGTTTTATAGAAACAAGCACCAAATTCTCCGTTCCGTGCTTTATTTCCTATTTGTTTATAATGTTCTTGTATTGTATCACATATGTAACAGCGTGTCAAAGTTGACACTAACAATAAAGGTGATGAGAAGTTAAGTTGTACAATAGTTGAATCTAAATTCATCAGTGTACAGGCCGGTGCTTGAAACATGCCGTTTACCTGAAAAATGATCATTTTATCAATATTAGCACTGTTAAATCCTTTTAATAGAATGGATTAAAATATTAAAATGAAGGCTTACTGTAAAAATAGACAGCACCATAACAGAAACTTTTCCACACTCATCTCCAATATATAGTTCAGAGCTATTATCGTTCCAACAAAGGCAGTTAACTTGTTTATGAATATGTTCATTTGATATGGCTATCAATTTTGGCGTAGGCTTTAAAGCTACTAGACAAACTAAACCACGAATTGTTGTTAAGGCAATTATTTTCTCATCAGGTGATATGAGAACACAAGAAACTGCTCCTTCCTGTTGTTATGGAGATAAAACTTAAAATCTTGTTCTGTTTTAAAAATCTTTTACACTAGATTAACATACAAATTGTTTAATCTCTTAGTAATAAATTAAGAAAAAATTTATGTACCGATAAGGGTATCAATTGTACAAAGGAGCATGGTTTCCTTGAAAATAAGTAGATACTACCACTAGTTGAACCTAATACGATATAGTTTGGAGATGTATTGAAACATGTATACTGTAACACAATTAATTTCATATTAATAAAGTAATTGGAAGATCGATATTTTTTAATCTTTTTGAATTAACATTATACTCTGAACCTAAAGTTAAAATTTACATATATTTTAGTTTTATTTAAATTATTATTTCAAAACAGCAAGTATTTAGTTTGATTAATTTCCATTATAATTTGTTGCATAGAATACATTTAATGCTAAATTGAAATTTAATTTTTTCAAACAGTACACGTGCTATACAAGATTAAAAAATGATTACGATTAAAGTGTTTTGTGTAATTGTAATATTATGCTCTAAATCAATCAGAATAAATCTTACCCAACATCATATGCATAAGCACAGTGAGTGGCGAGAAATACAATCAATAAAAATACTACGAATATCGTATTAAAGAAGTGATGCGACGTATTATTGCATAAGTATTAGTTTGAAGGAAATACCTTGATTCGTTGAGTTGAATTAATAGGCTTATAAAGAAGAGGATTTATTTCCTCGTATTCTGATAACACGTAAGGAAATTCTTGCATAATTTGTGAAAAAAAATCCTGTACGTAATTATACTGACAAACAACCAAAATTATTACACAAGAAAGACAGTTAACTGTGATAAACTATGATGAGCTTTTACGTACAGTTTACCGTATTTCATGCGCGAGATACATCTGTCGGAACATCGAGCGTTTTCACATAGAGGGCCGTCCTTACTATTTAATACCACAAATCCAATGAACATATTTGAACTCGTTTAGACATAAAATAGCAATCAAGTGAATCATCATAAATGACTCTTTCTATACAAAAAATTAGTTTCTCATCTTCTATAATTACAATGATTTCTCTCGTAATCCCCAAGCAATTTGATATATTATTATTTTTATATATTGTATAAAATTAAATATATTCTTACCAAATTCAACTCTAATAATTCAATAATCACTTTGTTTGCCGCGCAAATACGTCTGTCCTTGTCACACACTATCGTCCTCCTTGTCTACCGCGCTTATATGTCTGTCCTTGTCCCACGCTATCACCTTCCTTGTCTACCGCACATATATGTCTGTCCTTGTCCTACGCTATCGCCCTCTTTGTCTATCGCGCGTGTATGTCTGTCCTTGTCGCACACTACTGCTCTCCTTGTCTAATGACGTTAGACAAGGAAAGCAATAGTGTGAGACAAGGACAACTTTCGATCTATTGAAAAAAAAATTCAACATTTTACACACACCTTTTTCTAAGACAATACATACATAAAAAGAAAGCGAGGAGTCTAATTTTAAGGAACCGTGTAAAAAAGTTTGCAAATTATTCCTCTTAATTAGGTTTTTTTCATGATTAGTGCGAACTGTCACAAAATGGACATGGTTGCGCCATCTAGCGGTAACTCAGTGGTACTAATTATTTATAAAAGTGCCAATTACGTTCACAAATAAATCTAAATCTAATATTCACTATAGTTTGCGCGAAATTATGTACTCACTACTGGCGCTACTACTCACATAAACGAAATTGAAACATTCTTTATATGAGTAAACTATACTTAAACATAGAAAGCAAGCTGAGGGTCTCTAAAGTCGATGACGCAACCATAACAAATGATTCCTTTTAATTAATTTCTTCTTGTAATTTGTGCAAAAACAGTCACCTGTCAAAATTTAGAAGCAGCGGTGGCGCCATCTATTGACAACTCGGTGGTACTAAAA